AAGGGGATGTCCTTTGACCACCTGCCAGCTCCACTTTGGCAAAAAGATTCCAAGTAAACTCTACACTCATAGCAGCTTCCATTTTGTCTTCCATTTAGCTTACCATGATTTCTACACATCCCCATCAACCGCATTAGCCTAGAACTTTGCTGCATGACCTCTCGGCTGCGGCTCTCGTGCGTGCACCATTGGTGTCACAGAGCACCACAACCTGCCAGTGCTAGGAGGAAGCTCTTGAGATCATCCAAGCACACGTAGACGGATCAGATACTGTCTGCAACTTCGCATCATGCTGTGAGTCATGCTTTTGCATGCAAGGATTTATTGCTGTCGAACGTCATGGATGTCTAACCGATCTTCATGTGGCCTTTAGCGGCGGCATATGGGCAGCCTCCCGGAGGAAGCTAACCTCCCACACGTCTGCTTGGAACATGGTGATGTGATAAAAGAACCAAGGACCAGGCCAGCTCCTGTGCATTTGCCCACGAAACCAAAAAAACCAACGGCCTGGCCTTGGCAGAAAGGCTCAGGGGTGACATGAAGCAGCTTTAGACAAGTTGTGCAAGCCTTCTGAACGCTTCGACCACGCTCTGCCCGGACTCGCTGCTTCTTTTTGAGCCTGGGCTAAGTCAATGGATATTTGTTGTTGAACTTCACGACTGAGGGGCAAACAGCCGCATGCATTTCTCAGCGGTCTTGTGGGACTGGCAGTCGCAAGGGAATCTGAAAAGCAAAGCAGAATGTTGCAAGTGCCTTTGCTGCCATGCCGATGGAAGTTTCCAGCTGCTCCCTCAACCTCTCATAGAGCTGGACCACGCTCTCGGATCAAACTTGTGGGCGGAGGGCACACTCTGAGTTGGGTACCCTTGAAACTCTTGCTTGAATGCGCGTGCGTCGCACCAGAAGACCTGAAGACTATGCTGCGAAACCCTGTGGCGTATGTGACGTGTCATGCGCGAGAAGAATGACGTGTCGATGTCGCACCTGGTGCGGCTTCTCAGACTGGCTTTCGGATGCCATTAGCCTAGCAGAAAGAAATGTACTGTGTGCTGTCCGGTTGGGTCGGTGAATGAGGCGTAGGCCTTTGGCATGCCTTGCCGCAAATGGAGCGTGGCAAAGCGACTGCACTCCAAAAGCTGGTCGCTGAGCTTGTGGCGGCACCCGATTCCTCACCTGCACTGCTGCCCGCCGTCGTGCTGACAGGACTGGCCTGAAGAGATTGATCACAAAGTGTTGCCAGGTCTTCTCATAATGTATGCAGCTGCACCCCTCCAAATCAAAGCGGTTGCTTGCAGGAGATTGCAACAAATGCAGCACGGTTCTCCGCAGATAATTTCCAACAAAGCGTCCATCAAGATGGTAGCAGAATTGCTTTGATATCTCTTCTATTCTGCTTGCTGCACAAGATTGGGAAGAGCTGTGCAAAAGGCTTGTAAGCTTGGATGCGCAGCAAGTCCTTGGAGGGTAGTCTGGGCTTTAACTCTGGTTGGCATACTGCATGAGGCCGACAGTCGTAAGGATCTGCGAGACTTCAGGCCCAAACGAAGGCCTCTAATACAGATATCGCATTCTTTGAAAGTATTCTGTATCCCGTTTTCTCTACAAGGCAACATTACCTTCAACCCTGCTTGATTATACCTTCAACTGCAACGTGATTATGCTCTTAATGCTGCGTCATTGTGCCCTTAATGGCCGCTCAATGTAGCTCTAACGCTGCCTGGTTATACGTTTCACTGCGGCAGTGCTAGATGGTCAGCTGACCTGAAGCTCTTGCAAAGAAACGCCAAGTCCGGCGGTTTGGGTCCAGCACGCTGATGATTCTGCCCTTAAGGGCCCCAAATTAAGAGCATATTTGTGGGCCGGGAATAAGGGCAGAGTAGTCAGCGTTCTAAGGGGGAGAACGACTATTTTATTTTAAAGAGAGAGTCGCATTCTGGAAGAGCCACTGAAACTTCAAGGATTGACGATCAGCGGCCGCCTTTTGCTGATGACGTCTGAATTCTTAAGCAATGCTTCCTTAACCACTCCCAGGTTGCGCACGCTGCGGCATCTGCTTGTGGCATTGTTTTGGCTTTGCCTGATTCGATCTGGACAACCACGAGCCAGAGAGCACTCCGCACAAGCTTTGTGCCTCGACACAGGTCCGGGCATCTGCGGCTTCACCTCGGCATGGATTTCAGGCAGGGCCAGCAACATGTGGCAGTGACGAAGGGTAAATGATTGCCTGCGGTCCGTGAGGGCCAACTGGTAGCGGACCTGGAACAAGACCTGAAGCATAGATCCATGGGCAAAAACTCTCTGCAGAAGCACAAGCCTGCCTGCTGGGAGAGGCCCGCTGTTTGACATGCATTTTGGCACGACCTCGTTGCTGGCGGAAGAGCCAGGTTTCTTCTGCACATTCCGCGGCAGGTCGTGCGAGAAACGACAGGCTGCTCCATATTTGCAGGTCCCACGGACGTGCCATTTGCACTGCAAGGTTTTCCCTGAAATGGATGCTGCGTTGGAGCCTTCACCTCTTGCGACCGGCTGTGCTGGCGCTTCGGTGAAGAAGTCTTTGGGTGCTGGGGGAAGCGGTGGTCGTGGGCTCTGCATGCTCTGCATGGCGGCAGGCCGTGTCTCCTGCAGCCTCGGCCCAAGCTGGGAAGATTGGGAAGCTTCTGGCAATCCTGGCGGCTTGCCAAGCTCTTTGTCATCTGGCTGAAGGGCTTGTGCTGCTTGTGCTTGCAGAACCTCAGCAATGTGCTCCATGGCATCATCGGCAGCTTGATAGCTGCTCGTCCTGGAATGGAAGCCGCTGTGCCGCCCGTTGAAACCGTTCTCAAAGGAGTGAATCGGCTCGGAGGCACACCTCAGATGGCTCGGTCGCCATCGTGGAGGGCTGAGGAGGTCAGCACAACTTTCAGAACCAGTCTCATCCACTTCAATGAAAGTATTTCTGACGCGAAAGTTGACGTTTCCAAAATTATCCCAAGAGGACTGCGACGTCAAATGTGGCTGCACGTCTTCAGCAAGCTCGTCCAGGGTTTGAGCATCAACCAACTCCTTGTCTTCCTGGATGGTCCGTGAGCGCTGCCTAGCATGACGGAAGCTTCGTACAGGACAGGCCAAGGTGTGAGCACGGTAAGCATCCTTAACCCTTTCCTGAGAATCTGGTAGTTCTGGATTGGGATGGACATCCACCGTCATCGGCTCTGCACGCCACAGGCCTTGTCCCACGAAATCTGTGTTGATGTCGATGTACTTGGGAAAATGGATGCGCCTCAAGGCCTCGTACTCAGCGGACTCTCGCATGGTCGAGACGTATGAGTGCGCACGTGGCGAACGCATCAGAGTCGCACCAAGGCTTGTGCTAACTCGACCGCGGATGGGGTTTGAGGGCTCGTGTCGACTAGGGTCCATGTCTAGCATAGCACCAAGAGCATCTGTTTGCAACGCTGCACCTTGCAGTGCGTCAAGAGGTGAAGTCGCAAGACTCATTGGTTCCCAAGGAGGTCTAGCAAAAAAGGATGACATCGGCTCAGAAGCACATCGCAAGTGACCCCGGCGCCAAGTGCGCCCGAGTGCGCTTCCGCTACTCGAACTAGGAACTGCTGGATCAGCACGGGGCTCCGCACTTTCATCCACTTCTATAAACGTGTTGCGTACGTGAACTGTCTGCCACGTGTTGAGCCCAGGAGGTTCTGATGGCAGCTCGGATGAACCATCCTCTTGTCTAAAGGGAAGCGACATTGCGCAGAGGAGGAGTTGAAATGCAGATTGTTTTTTTCTTGAGTGGAGTTATGTCATGTTGTTTGATGTTGGCTGATCAGCTCTGTATACTCAAATTATTTTGCGCTCGTTGCAGCTGCCTACGACTTCTGCAAGTGAAAAGTCAACATATTCAGTATTGTCTGCCTGCTCCTGTCACTACGACCATGCAGCCAAGCAGACAGCCAAAGATTCACTAAGTAGCTTTGCACACGTCAATGTCCAGTGTACGCTGCCCCGCGGCTTGCCTGTACCAAAATTTCTGCAGCTTCGCCCTTCTAGGAAGGGTGGGCAAATTCCATCGGCATTAACACGGGGCACAGCTTTGGTGCCCAAGCCAGGCCACTAGCCTGGCGCGCACAGCGCCAGGACGGCGATGCAATTCGCATGAATTCAGATGCTGGCGCAATGAAATCATGAATCAGACACATGTTGATGAGGTGGCTATGACGAACATCTGCTTGGGGTTTTGCAGTGTATGTCGCAGCAGCATGTCGCAGCTGGGCAATCAATGTCGCAGCTGAACTGTACAGCCGGAGCGAGCCAGCGCGGCTGCCTGGAGCAAAGCAATGCATGGGGCACGGATGATTAAGCCAAGGGTGCTTCTGCCCTTATTTGATGTGGGATTTAGTCATGCCACGCCGCGTGAACTCACGCCAGCAACTATGAACCGCCATGGACACATGCTTTCCAAAGCGTGCTTTGCAAGAACCAAAAAGTCGCATGCATGTGACCCGTTGGCGAAGTTGACCAGAACACTTCATTTCATTTTGCTTATTCATGCCAATCACAAGGGCCACGCTGCATCATGTTCAGCCCCCAAGGACCAGCACTACTCACACCTGAGAACTGAAAAAAAGGCATGAGTACAGATGCCGCCGTATCCATGCTTTGAAGCAACACCCCCCAAGCACATGCTCATGTAAGTTACAGAACACCTTCATGCACATCTTCACAGGCCTGTAAATAGATGAGAACGCCAAGTACACGCGTCTGCACAACGAGGTCTACTCAAAATATTGTCCTCACTACACATTCTTCAATAAGGTCGAATGCAGAAGACACTTTTGGGGCCTCTACCAACTCCTTTCTGCCAAAGACCTGATCCAGAATACCTTGCATATGCTTGTTCAGAACAGCTTTAGAATAGCTTTAGAATAGCTTTTAGAATGCTCGAAACATCATTTTGTGGTATCTTGCCTTTAGCTATATCTTGAACTTGTAAGTTTAGTAGTCTCGGTCTTGCAAGCGCCTCAACCGTAGCGAGTTCGACCAGCCCGCGCTGACAACGGACGAGCTGTTGCAACCTCTAAGAAGTTGTACAGCTGATTCAGATTGTAGTCAACAGCCTGAGACAGTAAAACTCTCTAAGAAATCAAGTGGTGCTCCTTCGCAGCCCATGTGCCTCCCGGGAAACTCGGCTCCGGCGGCCTGAGGTGTGGCTGTGCACGTGCGATGCAGCTTTGCGTCTCTGACAGCTTGCCGGTGCTCACAAGCCCGCAACGGTCCAACTTGAAAGGCGAGATGGATCTGGCATATCCTGACAGAGCCAGTACCAGAAGCAATATGCATTGGCTAGTTCCTGGCTACTTTAAGAGTCTTTAAGCTTGTCTACCCTTGGAAAGCTGTAGCAGAATGGCCGCAAGTCCTCCTGATCGTGATCTGGCGGTCAACGGCAGCCTCGCTGGTAGCAATTTCAGAAGTAAGCATACTGGAACAGCGCACTTTGACCACTGCAGGCTAATAGTCTTTCCTGTAAACTTCCAGATCTTCCAGCTCAGACTTACTTTTGAGCTGGAGCCCCTGACTTTTCAGAACGTCGTTGAGTCCAAAGATAGCAAATCTATAGTTCCTGCTGCAGAAAGATTTCAAGGCTACTGTTGCTCTGGGGGTCGCATTCATGTCCTTCAGCAGCTCTTCACGAATAAGCAAAATTGCATAAATTTCTGGAGAATTGCATCCTACTCCACCTGGAAGATATTCATTCAGCCTCTTATTGATGCTCATTACTTGTATACAGCTACCGCTTGCTTTTGCCTCGTGGCGCAACCCAGACCAACCGTTTCCCGGCCAAGAAGGTGCTGCCTCAGAACACGAACAAAACCCGGTTGGAGTCTGTCAAAGGTTTGGAGGAAGGGCATATGCATCTGAGCCATGGGGCCAGCGCCGCAGCATGCTCAAGTCCTGACAACCCACCAGCTGAGAAAGAAGGCCCTTACACACCTTACACTGTGCAACAGAAGAAGAAAACAAGCTCTGATCACTCAAGGAGAAAGCATAGCAGGCAGGGTGCCTCGGCTGCTGTTGTTGGGTATTTGTCACGGTCTCCATGTCGGCTGTTCAGCTGTCCTGGACACTCTGCAGAGCTTTGAATCAATGCGATCCCGCAACAGCAACGTGCAAGGCGTTCTCTTCTGCTGGCCTCCTGTAGACGACCTCGAATGGCCAGCCCACGACATAAGACATGTTTGTTCTCGCATTTGCAATATAAAGTTGCACTCTACCCATGAAAGTTCTTGACAGGGCCTGCATGATGATGCCCTCATCTCAATGTGACTTCGCATAACTTGCAAGCTTGTACGCGGAGCAGGATGAAGCTTGGGCTTTGATGTGTCCTGACAGTACATGCCATCTACTTTCGTACCTTGGCGTATCTCCCGCGTCGCTGCGTGCCTCTTGACAGCCAACGGATACTCTAATCCGATGCTGAGATGCGCAAGACAAAGCAGCCGCTTCATGATCCAGAGCCTTCAGGGCAGCCATTGGGTTGCCCCGGATCCCCAAAGCCTTCGACAACTGCAGAGAGTTGTTGCATGACAGGGTGAGGACATTTCTGAGAATCATGCCGGCGGCGATGTTCTCGGAAGGGCCCTGCAGTCCCCATCATGCGCACCTGACCCAAGCAGGTTGTAAGCATTCAGACTACAGTAAACAGCCAGCGAAGCCTACTTACATCCAGCCACATTTGCTCACATCTCCCTCCTGGCCTGCTTGTAGCGCTTGCTCGAGAGCACTATGCTCTGCCATAGCCCTTTCAGGGCACATGCCAAGGTTCGTGAACAATTAGACAGACCATCGTGTAAGCTGGGACTGAGTCTCCTAGCGCATGGGACAGGTGTCTAGGAGAAGAGGATTGATCATGTTCCACGAAGCTTTTATGCACTTGTAGCTTGTAACTGTAACACACACACACACCAAGAATAGGGCAGGGCCTTTGGATTGCGCTGGCTCGATCATCAAGCGCAGCACGAGCTTCTGCAAGCAAGGCCTTGCAATGTTAAGCCGTAGCGTAGCGCATTTGTTTTTCTATTCGCCATGGCCTGCTCTCGAGCCATGCCACCGACTGAACGCAGTCGATCCCTTGCATGGAAGCTCGGCCAACTTGCGTGCGCAGGCTATCCAGCTTCGGGGATATGTCGAATGCAAATTCGTGGCGGCATGGCGCATCTTGCTTCCACTGCTGTCTCAGCCTACACAAGTCTACTGAGGTGGAAGCTTGGAAGGAATCCCTTGCAACTCATGCCACAGTGGAATAAATAGGCAAAGATCGCAAGCTGTGTAGTCTTGAAACTTCACATCATGAGTTTTGAGGTTGCGGCTTGTCGACCGTCAACAACTCTGCCTGTAGCCTGATTTTGGCACTTGGACTCAATTGAAACACACTGGACTTTACCTAAACTGCTTTGGACCTGTATTGTAATGGGAACCCCATAATGGGACATTATAGGGATCCGCTATTACAAATTTTGGGATATCTCCGCATTTTGATTTCAAAGCCATCCATCAAGGAGTCGGCTCCGCCCGCTTCATCTGCAGAAAGGCCGCAACCTCCCAAGTGTTCACATGCAGGTCTTGTTGCAGCAGTCAACGAGTTTCGGCTAAAGCTGAGCGCAGTTTGGAAAAGCCCGGATGCAGATGAATTGTATTTAGGACATCAAGATCAAGTAGGAGTATCGGATTAGATCAAAGCACACAAGTACGGGGCTTTGGCCTCTTCCGGGACGGGCCCTGCTGAAGTTGCTGCAGCCCCTGCGAAAAGATGGACAGCATATTGATACACCGCGGCTGGTGGCGAGAGCACTCGGCCTTGACTTTGAGGACTAGTTGCCCCAACCTGGCAAACGTCTTCCTCCCCAAACAGGCAAACAGCCAGCCAGCTGATGAGAACCTCCGCCTGCTGGTCTTGTGCATTCCCTTGCCTGCAGTTGCGAGTAGATGTCGTTTCGCGGAATCTGAAGGACATCTTGACAACTGAGCCAGATCATGATGCTCTTCGTCTGGGGCACGGAAGAGGCGTATGCGTTTATCCCGCTTCCAAGCCCAGGCGGGTTCGCTCAGCCACTTCGCTGAGTCTTGTTCGAAGTTTGCATGGCTAGATCATACAGGTCTTGATTGGTGTACAGCGGAGACTCCTAGAAAATCATAGGGCAAGGGCTTCAGATGCTGCCTGGGAGGTAAATCTAGAGCCAGCCGGCGTTGCGAGGTTGTCGGCGGGGGCCCTGGGGGGGGCATCAGGAATTACTTGTATCAGTAGTACTACTAGTAGTAACCACAATAAAAACAACAGTAATAATAGAAATAATGAGAATGTACTGATGTCACGAAAGAGAGCTTGGGCGCTGGGCGTGTTTGGTCTTCTTGCTGACCCACTCAATGTTAAGCCAGGCTGACGCGCCGCGCGCTCGCGTATGCTAACGCATGCTAGCTATAATATGGCTGACCCAGGCAGCAGGCGTGTGAACTTTGCTAAGTCACGCACCACGCTGCAGCAGGAAGCACGTCTTCTGCCTCAAGCATCCAGGTTCAAGTCACTTCCCCTAGCTCGCTCTTGTGCGGATGCCAAAATTAATACAGACAGAGGGTTCCCCAATGAACAAATCCGGTCCTATCCGATCCTGTCATCTTGCATGGAATCGGCTGCTGCTTCTCTCTAGTCACAGAGTTTAGGGGTATGGCTTCCGCTCGATTTATGAGTCATACTGGTGTTGGGAAAGTTGAATTGATTTTGTTGCTCATGCAGAATCAACAGCGCCTGCCGCACAGGTGAGTCTGGAGGCGGGCCCGGACCTGCTAGAGCTCCAACTGATGCACTTCTAGTCCCACGGCTCCGAGCTGCCCACTGCCAGCTGGAACTGTCATGGCCTCAGTCGCGACCAAGAGCTTGCGACAAGTGGTGGCTTTGCAGCTGCTGAGCTTTGGGCATCACAGGGTGACAACGTCGCATCTTGCTCTTCCATGTCGGGGTCGCCGGTCTCGCCCATTCCCTGTGCCAAATGTCGGGAAGCAGTGCTTCTGCGAGCTGTTGTAGTTGCCATGCAGCTTGCCTGTGCTTGAGATAGTTGTGAGAGTTCCACCGCTGTCTTGAGGCCTGGCAGCACAAGGAACTGAATGCTCGTCTCGAAACTTGCCAGGCGCCTGTGATGTCCATGGGTCCATCCTCAGTAGGCAAAAAGGCTGGCTTGTAGATGATTCATTAGTCAGAGCACTGCAGCCTTCACATTTGAAGAGAGAATCGGACTCCACAAGCAGGCTTGCAAACTACATCCTCAAGAGCTTAGTGTACAGACATTGGATCTGCCCCTCGCAGGGCCCTTTGGCTAGCATTACAAAGCAACAGCAGCAGCAGCAGCAAAATTTCATGTCAGGTGGCATTCATTCTTCAAGACACGCAACTTATGCCATCTTGATCAACCGGTCACCGCACACGTAGGAAGCAGTGCCAGAGCCAGGTCATGGCTTGTGCTTGCTGCTCTGGCGCGACTGTTGGCTTCTGGTCCAAAGACTTTGTGACTTTGCGATTAGCAGCGGCTCCATAAGCAGCACATGGTATCTTTGCATCTGTTTTACATGTCCTGTGGGAGACTGAGCCCTTGACTTTCTCCAGCATCTGTTCTTCCCACTCTTCCTGCAGGTGCCACACAAAAACATCACGTGCCAGCAATACGCGCGATTCACATCTCTTCGCTTAGGCAACATAAAACAGAAATCTCGTTGGTCCTTTTCCATCCCCCAATCCCGGCGTGCTCGGAGCTGATTTTCTAGGAACTGGACCTGATCCTCACATGCTTAGAAGAAAAACCGCTCGGCTTTGCAGCCAACTTGAACTGGCTGAGCATCACATCAATCAGGGTTGGACCTGCAGGTGGGAAACTTCCAGCTCCTTGTCTTCCAGCTGGCAGTACTTTTTCCTTGCCTGCTGAAACGTTGTTGCGTCCCATGCCGTGCCAACCATGCCTTCTGACAGCGTGCCTCGATTCGGAACTTCTCAGCTTCGGCAACCTAATCTTTCAGGTTTCTGAAGTAGGTGGAGATGAGCAGATCGGAGTGGCATCACGCAAAAAGTGGCTTTGAGGGCCACGCCTGCTCTTGCAGTTGCGATTTCAGAGCCTCATAGATTCCAGCTTTTGTCAAGTTTCCGATCAGAAGCTCAGCTCAGTGCCTACTCGTTCAATTTAATAAGTGCTACTGGCCCACACAATCTGCTATCTAAGACCACTGACTTCACTCTTCAATGGCTACTGCTCGCTCATGCTTACGTCTAGGCAAACTCTTCGTCTGCACGCGTCTGCAAGTACTCGGTTTCCACTCAGAGCACGAAGTTGCCCAAGATCCTGGCTCTGACATCTCGTTGGTACTCTCGAACCTGCAACAAGTCCATTCCTGGATTGACGATCTTGACGTCACAAACGAATGGCTTCGGCCAAACCCTCCCAGTGGCCTGAGTCTCAGCATGTGTACGACTGCTGCGCTCTGCTCGAACCGCTGCTCGAGCGTCCTGCTTCGTGTGCTCTGACTGTCTCATCTCTGCAGCTTCCCTCTCGATGCTGGCTCTTTGCAAACATGTCTCCTCACAGCGGTGCTCGGCATCTGCCACCTCCTCTCGTATGGCACGGTTGTGATCCTGGGCCTCGCAGATTGCACAGCTTATGCAATACATGGATCCGGACCACATTTTTGAGGGACACTGGCAAGAAGGACTTCTTTAAGCAGACTCAGACCCGCCACCCATCTTGCAGCTGTGCTGTGACTGTGGCAGGTGTGATCTTTTGCAACTTCGAGGGAAGCAGCTGGGAAGCGGTTTTGCTTCCAGGAAATTCAGGATAGCTCTGCCTTCTTGCGTGTTTTGTTTTCATGCCCGCATGCCGTGAAACGCATATCGCTCGAGGAAGACTTGCCTTAGACGCTTGGTCTTGCGTGGTTTGATTTGTGCAAGTGAAAATTAATAAAAGTGCAACAACTTCCAGTCAAAGCCTCGCAGCCGTTGCCTAGGAAACGTTCTAGGCAAGGCCTCTGTGGGTCTACCTCTTTGTTGATGCTCTGCTGAATCTGAGTTTGCAAGCCGCAGCCTGCTTCGAGTTGACAAGCAGAGCGCTGGAAGATAGACTCTATTCGGGAGGCTTTATGCGTCACGCCAAGCCTGCTGGAGATACAAGTGGCCGAGGGGGGAAGACATCAACAATGCGTGCGTTCGATCAAGCTGGCTAGATCTTATGCGGAACTTGGGCGCCTGTTCGAGTTCTCCTCGCAGCGCCTGCTTCAAGAGGGAATGCTCTCATTCACCAAATGTGGTTTGCGCATGCTGCGCCAACGACGGGCACAATTGAACTCAGAGTCATGACCTCCTGGCTCTTTGCAACTCGGCTTTCTTCTTGCTGCACGCGTCGAACCTGCGAGATCACTGCAGCTCGCATTCATTCCAGCATGCAATGGTGAAGGACAAGGCGTGGCAGCATGTCTGCATGGAAGACAAATGCTAATTGCATGAATCTAATTGCTAATCTTTGATGGAGCTGCCCGTGAGCAAGCCTGGCCTCACGAGCGAGCCTTTCCGCCTGCATGTGAAGTCTCACGATCGTCAGCAAGCGGTCTCTCCAGCTGAGACCATTCTATTTGAGCCTTCTCCTTGGATGCAGCGGATTCAGCCGCCCGGGTTTGCAGCTCGACCTGTGCATGCGCAGTTTGCACTGTCATGCCTTGTCAACAGCTCCCTGTTTGAGCTCTCCTTTTCCAGAAGCGCCTGCAAACGGTCTACCTCCCGCTTCCAGTCATCTGTAACCATCGCCTGGAACTGTGGATCCTCATGGTTGTCTAGGTGCCAAACAGGGGGCCTTGGCAGCTTCCACGCTCGAGATCTCTCGGGCAGCTGCTCGGGCCTCTGGCACACGTCGCCAAAAATACTTCAGGGCGCTTTAGTAAAACTTGCACTTCCGTGACAGTAGCTGGCCTCAGCATGGCGTGCCTCTGCCCTGACTCGCTCGAGCTCACTCACGCTAGACCTGACCTCGATGGCTTCTTGTCCCATGTCTTAAACGGAGGAACATGGTTGTCAGACTTCCAGAATTGCCTCCGAATGCAGTTGCTCCACTTCTGATGCTTTGGAGCGTAGCTGCGCCTTTTCAGGAGAAGGATTAACGTGCTTAGTCACGCACCTCTGACATGTCTTTTAGATCTGCGCCTTCAGGTCAGAAATGACGAAGCCATTATCATCGTGTCGCAGCTGCCTGTTGCTAACGCCACCAAGATAAGATGAAATTCCGTGCTCTCTCTGTCAGACTATCAGCCGAGCTCACAAGCTGGATTTTGGGGGTCTGTTCGCGCTCTTCTTTCAACGCCCCGGGCCCCAGGCTTCTGTGAATGTTTGCTACAGAGATTGATGCTTGTCCGAGTGTCAGGGCCACCAATAGTGTACCGAACATGTCGGATACAAATCTGAGGACAGCATTGGGAGGTGCAGAACTACATCAGCTGCAAATCACAACTGTCGGTTCTGAGGCTGGTTGGGCCTGGGGTACTCTGATCGGACACAGTGGGACCACTTTTCGCACATGCTGTCTCGACCATGAGCTCTTTATCCTGCCACCAAGCAAAGGACAAAGCATGCAAACACATGCTCGCACTGCAGCGCCTAGTATCAATTCGGATTTGAAACAACATTAATTAGCTGTCGCGAAAACACGCAAACATTATCACCGTGAGAATGCTCATGCTTCACTGTCGCGAGCGATCGCTCAGACCACTGAAGCTGACGGGGCTAAGCATGTGCTCCAAGGTTTAAAGCGCTAAGTCTTTCGAGCGTGGTTTACGCCACCGCTCGAATTCCAAACGGAGCACTCGACAAAATAGCACCGAAGCACCAACCGCATCAAAGAACGACAGCGAGACGATAGTATACGACAACAAACGATATTGTAAATCGCACAATCTCCTCTCCTTCTAGCCCTTAGCCGCCTTAGCCTTAGCCTGAGCTGTTGCAACAGACACCACTCTGCTCACAGCAACTCACATCCTACTGCCATGAGCCAAGGCCTTTCTTCCATGCGAGCTTCGTTGACTTTTAGCTGAAGCTCCTGAATTTGGTGGGTTCGCTACGTAAGTGCACAACAGGCCACACCATGTTTCCTGCCTCAAGTTCCTTGCTGTGGCGGGCCACTGCATGCGCAAGGTCCTTGCAGACAATGGGCCCTCTCTTGCATCAGTGCTGCGGAAACCAAGCCAGTGCAGCAGCAGAAAACTGAATCCACGTTTTTCACTCTGAGACGGCGTGAGCAAGCAGCGTGCGTTGGCTGCACTCAGTGGAACTGCATCCGAAGCCAGTCTGAGATGAGCCGGGATTCTCCCAATGTCGCCGTCTTCCGGACACGGAGCAAGTTCTAGCGGTCAGCCTGTGGCGTGTCCAAGCTATTGCGGTCCTTCACTGAGAGAACGTTCTTCAAAAGAGACCCGAGGCGCCATTCTGAAAGATGTCCGAGTGCAAGCATGTTTAGGCATCGTCTACCACAGCCAGAGCTATTTCCTGATCGGCCCGGAGATCTGGATCTACGAATCGAAATGCATCACCATTGCGCCATACTGCAGCGAGGACAAACTGCCGATCAGAGCGCAGTTCAGCTGCCGCATGCTCAAAGGCGGCACCGTTTTGACGCACTGCCTGCAGCACGATTGCATTGTCAGCCTGCAAGCGCTTGGAAGCAAATTTCAAAGCTAGCCCGGACTGCTGAACAGCCATTTCCAACAGCTCTTTTTTGTCTCGGAGACGAGCTCCCAGGTGTTGCAGAGCTCTCCAGTTCTGTTGCACTGCGGCCACCGCAATGTCGTAGTCTTCAGCAACGTCCGGCTGAGCATAGCGCAGCGCTTTCCAGGTGTTCCGCACAGCTGTCAACATCACATCACGATCATTCTGCATGCAAGGAGCTGCATATTCTGCCGCTAGGCCGTCCTGTTCCACAGCAGCAAGGACGAGCTTCTTGTCGCTCTTCAGGCTGTCTGATGCAAATCTCAAGGCCTCCCAATTCTGGCCAACAGCGTCCAACACCAGCTGTCTGTCGCAACGCAAATCTGCAGGTGCATGTTGCAGCATGCGCCAGTTCTTACGCACCTGCTCTGCGAAACCAAGGCCTTTCTGCGGCCTCTGGACCATGTCCAGATCCAGAGTTCTTCCGGAAGCAAGCAAACTGCTGAGAGTCTCAAAGTCAAACAGCTCCCTGTCGCCACAGAACAACTTTTGCTGAGATTCAGAAATCCCTGTGCTTGTACACACCTTGTTCTTGATATCGCTGACCGTCGCAGAATTTGGCACTGAGTACCGTTCTTGCTCAGCACTGCCATTCACGCGAACACGGATTTGTAAAGTTGAGGAGGACTTGCCCGTCTCCTGCTTTTTGGCTCGTCTAGGAGAGGCTTGACGTGGATAGCCATGAGCATTGGGTGCTGGTGTGGAAATGAAGGGAGCATCATCGTGGCTTGTGCCGTTTTTCTGCTGATACAGACCGCGATTACTGTAATGATCCTCCCTCTCAGGATCTTTCTTTGGTTGGGCCTTGCCCTTCTCTGCTTGGGTGTCTGGCTTCTCAGGACCACTGGAATCAACGCCGTTGCGCTGCTTCCTCTGTTTGGCTGCAGCTTCTTTGAACCGCCTGAGCTCATCTTCTGCCTGTCGCGCTCGACTTTCGGCGTTCCGCCGGCGCTTCTCCTCCTCTTCTTTCTCTTGCCTCTTTCTGGCCTCGCGCTCTTGCCGCTCCTGCTCTTCACGCTGCTCGCGCTGCTTACGTTGCCGTTCCTCCTGGCTTCGCTGGCGCCTCTGACGCTCCTCTTGAGCAGCACGTGTTCGTTCTGCTTCCTGGTTTCTTTGGCTGGCCTCTCGTTGGAGATAGGCTTCATGAGCTTCCCATCTCCCCTGCACAATCAAGAATAGCTTCTGGCACTTGGCACGCAAACGCTCAGGCTGCTTATCTGGGTGCAACTCCAGCTGCAGCTTGCGCAAACGCACCTTCCGAGCAGGAGGCGCAAGCAGGTCGATGTCTCTCAGCTCTTGTTGTAATTTTGCCATTCGATTTTGCAGCCATCGATCATCTTCCTGATCTTCCCGCTTCTGAAGTTCATTCCGAAAGCGTTGCTGCTGCGCTTCCCAGTCCTTCCATTTCCTGGTTTCGGCATCTGCGGATGGCTCTTCTTGCGGCTCCGTACGCGGCTCTGCCCGCGGCTCTGCACGTGGCTCCGCTCTTGCAGAGGACGCGTAGGCCGTGTTGGATGTCCGGTCGGCTTTGGGCGGTGCCTGTGCCTGGCTGTCAGCGAATTTACGCAACCACCGAGCAGACTTGGCATCTCCAGGTCTGATGTAAACCATCTCACTGCAAGTCTTGACCCTGTCGCTATCATCTCCGTCCTTCCAAGCGATTGTGTATGTGCCATCCTGATTTTTTCTCAAGACAGCCGCCAAATACCAGCACCCTTGTTGAAATCGTGCCTTCACAACATCTCCTTGCAGGAATGTGCCATTGGGATCGGGCTGCCTCTGCTGTTGAACTTCTTCTGGGCAGTCTCCAGTTTCACCGTCATCTATACTTTCCGCATCGCTGAGATCGCCAAAGTCAAACATGGGATCAGCTTGGCAACTTGTTCCCACCCGTGGGGTGGGTACCAATTAATTAAAGCTGGCACAGATTGGTGCTAGATATCCCAACAAACAATGTCGAACAGTGGGTACTGCAGTGAAGGTCGACGGCTCAGATCACTTGCAATGTCATCTACGAATCCAATAGTGTCGCCGTATTCTATTCGTCTACTCTCTTGAATCTCCTGGAGGCGTCAGGCAATGCAAACAATGGGCCACCGGCAGAGCATGAAGCAGCCTAAAGGTGAGGCTGAGCGCTGAGCCCCTCTCAGCCTCAAGATGGTCTCGTCGCGTTCCTGAACAAGCTTGTGCACTGAAACTTGTGAGTTCTGCATGCTGGGATAACACACACTTGGAGCGCTCCTTGACAAGGGACCGCAGCTTCTGATCTTCTAGCTCAACATTCGGCAGTTTCACCTTGCACCAGCTACGAATGGTTGGCAGATGTTGGCAGCATACTGCAGGAGCGCCTTCTGCTGCAGCGTTTCCACCTCCAGCTTCGCCACTTGGCTACCCAAATATACCCAAATCAAAGCTCGAGCTGCCCGAGGCAGTGCGAACAGGTGCACAAGCTGACGCCTCCGCTTCCAAGTCCAGAACCTTAGCACGAAGAGAGACCAGCTCACGGACCTGGAGCATCTTGCTTCTTGTGGCTCGCAGAGGCTGGTTTCATGGCAGATCACGGCAGGTTGCCTCATCCTGGGCAAGGCCACCGCTTGGCCTGGCTCAGCTTCGCAGAGAACGGTGCATTCGGTGCCGGTGCCAAACGCAGGCCCATGCAGGCCCTGCCCCTCCTGCATGCTCGAAGCTCTGCTCTCAAGCGCCCGCACCTCAATCAAGCACATCGAAGGAAACGAGCAGGATCGGGCGAATAATGGCTGAAGCTGATCAAGGCCAGGCCAGGCTAGTTGAGCCTTCACTAAAACAGGTAGCAGAAAAATTCAATTTAACGTCTCGATAGTAGTATACTGAAATCTAGTTTGTGGCGGCGTTGCACGACGAGGGTGGTCGTGGCCTCTGATGTTGCCAAGTGTTGGGCAAGCAAGAAGGCACGATCGACACATCTACTTATTTCGCCCATTATCACATTACAAAATTGTTTGACTCTTTAACGTTCATGAAGCTGACTGTCGCAGGCTTATGCTCCGGGCTCTTTTGATCGCACTTCCAACTCCGCAGCCGAAGCGGCGGCCTCCCCACTGGAAACTTGAGGGGATAAATCAATTACATGGTCCGGCTGGTGGGAGTGGCGACAGAATACCAGAAGGAAGGTATGCGGCAGGGGGACACATATGACCCATGGCTATAATATGCCATAACCAACATGACCCTGTGAGCGTTTGCTGGGGGAGTTCCTATTGCGTTCTGAGAGGTTTTCAAACGTCTCGCTGTAGGGGTTCAGCCAGCACGCAGTCACGGTGTGATCTTGAATTGAGGGGCACCATTGCTTTTCATGGCATTCCTCACTAGTCCCTGATGAACGGGTTTTGAGGATAGCTCATGTGATTGTTGCCGTGGCAAGATTGCAGTGCTTGCAAGATCCACCTGAGCCTTGCATTGAGCCATCGCTTCTGCAGCCTGTCCGGCTTCCAGACTGGAGTTTCATGAAAGAGAAGAGCGGTGAACAACATTGCTGGCAATGCGCATTGAAACCATGTCTTTTACATCCCTTGACTTGGTGGGCTTTTATTGGCGCCCCAGCAGCAGCAGCAGCAGCAGCAGCAGCAGCAGCAGCAGCAAAGAAAAAGCATACCAGCAGCGTGCCTCCGCCTTGATGCGGTTTAGGCCAGCCTTCTCCTCCTGCCCAGGGACTGCTCTCATCCAAGAGCGCAAACGTCTATGTTGCAGATTGAGAGGAAAACAGGAAGGACACCTCCAATAAAGCCTGCATCTTGGGGACTTCTGACTGGGAAGCCTCAGTGATGGAACAGCATTGTTTTAGCATCACTTGCCTTCTTGTGATGTCAAAGCAAGAAAAATGCGCCTCGTTCTGCAGGCGGCTGCATTCCGTGCGCCATGTATCCACCTCAGCCTTGAGGGATGCCTGGTCGTGTGCATGGCCCTGCGGCCAGGATGCAAATCTGCCGTACCATGTTCCGATGCCTACGATCCCACGATAGCACGCAGGCACTTGCCAGCTGTGTGGCTTTTTGATCTCCCTAGCCTCACGAGAGCTTCACGAGACCGGCTCCTACTGCGGAGAGGTGAAACATCGCCGACCTCGGCATTGCTCAAGGTGGACCCGGAGCTGCTAGAAGAAATGCTTCGTCCTCTGGCAACTCCTTGTACACCTGCAACTGTGACGTTCATCGCGCAAGCAGCGTTTTCTGCTGCCTCACGAACGATCCAATTGTCGTCCTTCAAACATGCCATTACTGGCGACATCACACTGGCACGAGTATTTGGTCCTCCTGCCTGCGCAATGCGTGCAAGGGCCTCCAGTGCACATACTACGGTCTGATCTGAGGACATGTTGTTCCGCGCCACGAGACCTAGGCTTCGTGCGGCGAGAACGCCGGCGGAGTCCTCACCCTGCATGATTTCGGGCAAACTGTCCATGGCCAAACGCCGGACGCCATCATCTACATCCGAAATTCGTTCACACACGGCGGCCAGGATCTCCTGCCTGTTGGGATACGGCGCCAATGATCTCAAGACAAGCAAAGCGCTTTGACGAATCTGCGGGGACAGGCTGCGCAACGCGGAGGCTGCAGTTTCAGCTGCCTCGGAATCGCCTCTAGGCGCCGTGATGGATAGTGCCTTCAGCGCCACAGATTTTACATCGTCGTCGTCATCAACGGACGCAACGCAGGCAAGCCTGTCCGCATAGTCTTTCCGTGGGCCATACAGCTTGGCAAGGCAGCCAATATTCTTGACGGCAGCGATGCGTACATAGCCGTCCGTGTCCACTAGCCGTGGAACCAAAGAGGACATCACCGCACTGTCAAAAGCATCATGACTGCAGACATATCCCTGATCACCTCTCTGACCTCTCTGCAAAGCATATTTAGTCAAGAGCTCGTGCAGGGCCTCCAGCGCAACACACCGATTACGAGCAACCGGGCTGCAAAAGAGAGGCATCAACATCTCCGCAAGTTGAAGCCACTCAGTTGGATCCGCTGATGCCACAAGACCATCGCAAGCGGCCTTACAAACACTGTCATGTGGGTCTTGCAGGGCCTGAATAAAGGCCTTATTAATGGACATATTGCCGTCCACTGCCCTCAGTGCACCAACAGCAGCACAGCGCACCTCTGACGATGGGTCTGAGAGCAATGCTCCGATCAAGTCAAGAATCGTTTCCGAATACTCTGGGTACTCGACGCCCAGGACTGGTAATGCGTGACACATTGCTGCAGCTGCTGCGCACTTCACAGAGGAGCGTCTGGCGCGAAGCCTGTGCCGTATCCTTCCCGCAATGCTCCAGGAGTCTGGATCACTTGACCTGATGAAGCGTCCCAACGCATCAGCTGCAGAGGACTGTACGTGAGTGTCGGGGTCTTCGAGGCCGGAGAGGGCCAGCTGGACCGTCTGCAACGTGGCCGTGCCTTGCGCACTTGCCAGCGCTCGCAACGCAATCGCCTTGACTCGTCCGCTGTGCTTCTGCACCATTGCTTGAAGGCGCTGCACAAATCCAGGTCCAAGTGGTGACCACGTAGCCAGTGTGTCTGCAGCAGTTTGACGCACAATGCCCGATGAATCTGCAAGTGCTCCAATCGCTGCCTCCACAAACTGCCCAACATCAAAGGCAGGCATTTCGTCCTGGTCGGGAACAATCTGCGACAAGACCTCGAGCGAGGCCGTTCGCACGTCAGGCTCATCATCCCCAAGGTAGGCCAGCACTTCAGAAGCAATCGTTGAGCTGCCGCGGTAACGCACTTTGGCCACAGCTCGCAAAGCCGCCCGCTTCCGCTTTGTAGAGCCGCGACCAGGTCTGCGACTCCGTTCCAAATCCTGCATCTCCGGCGAGTGAAGCGCTTGCGCTTCTGCTGCAAGAACAATGCCCCGTAAGAAGTCAGTAGACAAGCTCCGAAGCAGGCCGCAATTTGCCCAGGTAAGTTTCACAAAGATCTCACCAAGCAGGCCAAGTGTTGGCCCCAGGGCTGCTAGTGCTTGCATGTCTCGATATTCTTCATCGGTGAATTCAGGACCACTGGACTCTGGGATGCAGGCAAGCTTGTACACATCAGACGGGGAACTGCATTCCAGCAGCTTTGTAACAAGTGCAAGCGTGGCAGCGTCAATCGCCGGGGGAACGTCCAGGAAGCAGGCTGCTTGGACAAACTCCGTGGCCTCCTTTGAAGGCCACTGCTCAGGCAACTCCTTGCAGAGAATATACTGACACAAGTAGCCAATGCCGCTTCGCGTCAGAGCAGCTGAGCTTGGCAAATGCAGAGGGTCCAACTGGTCTACCTCCTGTGCTTCTGTGAAGAATCCATCGAGGGAACCCAACATCTTCGAGGCGCGCACCACCTCGTACGGCAGTTGCAAGCATGTCTTGTCTTGCAGCACCACTGGCAAGCTGCTTTTTGCTTGGCTGTCATCCATCTAGAGCAAGGCAAGAGCATTGCTGGGGAGCAGTGAGCGGGATGTGTACCAGACATGCTTTGAAACAACCTGGCTGAATATCTTCCGTCCGCATATGATACTAAGTTCTGACGTAGCGTAGGCTCTAACAATGGCGAAGACGAACGTTTGGAAGCTGGACCTCGGATTCGTCCGTTGAATGAAGACATGTGCAGGGTGACAGGTTGGGCTTGAGCAAGTGCTAGGCTGGCAGTCTCCATGGTTAACAACTTCGTTGGAACAGCACTTTGAGACAGCTTGATGCATAGCTTGCCGTCATACTAGGACAATGGCATCCCTCCTTTCCGTCTCATGATTCTACCTGACCAATCTGGCCTCCTCCATTGCTCGCAGGGCCGCTTGTCGCTCTTGCTGCTGCACCTGTTACAGTCTCCTCTATCAGTATTTGTGTTGACGCCATCGCATCTCTGGGGCACGCTGGAATTAGCAAGTAAGTCGGACAACACCTATCCACATTTGAAGTTCAAGTTGCTGCACAGCCCGTCAAAGGCGTGAATGATCAGTGAATTCACGCATGTCAAGACTGAATGGAAATACAATCTCACAAACATTATGCATCCTGGCCACCAGTGTGATGACACTGGCATTCACCCGCCCTGAGGCTGTGCAACATGCTGAGCATGGCCAATGAGAAGAGAAGCACGCGTCTCTGCGTCCAAAACCTACAGCCCCTGCTACACAGGATGGGCTGAACAGGAACTATCAAACGCTGTGTGAAAGCGCGTCCCACAGCAGGCTTTCACAAAACATGGTGCGCCATGTAACAAGCTGGACAAGAGGATGATATCATGTTCCGTCCCCAGGCACCAGCTCTTAGGCGTTCTGATTCATGCAGAGCAATCTCTGTTCATCCATCGGGCGAGGTTGATACAACCTGATAGATACTGTCATCATTGCGGGTGCGGCGTAATCTTGGTCATGGCGCCGCAGGAGGTCCGCTTCAGGTACAGGTCCGCCGCACGAGGTAACACGAGCTCCGCGCGAGCTAGTCAAGACATCCATCATCGACTCCTTGTTCTAAATCCATAGTTTGAAAACTCCGCTACAGCAAAATGCTGAAACGACGTCGCCTTGAGGGAAGGCCCACCGACCACACACGCCACAACCATGTTCTGGTCCCCACGCACATCCGCATATCATTTTGCAAGATAGATACCTTAATTATGGAAGACTTTTACGGAACTCTGGCCTTAGTACACGCACTCTGCGTGTTGACCTCACAAAAAGAGGAACGACTTGGTCCCGAAAGATGGTACGGAAAGCGCTCCAAGCCAAAAAAGTAAGACCTCGGATGTCTTCTGCGCCTCTGCCCGCAGTTGGACCAAGTCGGCCGTCCTGTCGGTGACACTTTGGCATTCTACGATTGCAGGTCAGACAGCTCTCGAAGCACTCGATGCTGGCAATCTCCTGGCATCCAACTCGGTCTTCAGGTTTGAAGATCGTGCATTTGCCTCCACAGGGTGCTTGTCAGATCTTGTCAGACTACCTGAACGCATTCACTTATCCGTTCGCTGTCATCTGCCAAGATTTCCGGACTGCACTGCTCATGATTCAGATGAACTTCGCAATGAGGAATAAAGCAGGCCCGATACTCACACACTTACGCTAACCCCTGGACCACCTCTGTGAGCAACAATTTAGTCGTGCGCATGGCAAGAACAAGTAGAAGCTTGATGCGCGGCTACGAGCTTCAGACTTTCCAAACACGGCAGAGGGCCTGTTCAAGGTTTGTCTGCAACCTCCTGCCAGCGCAATGGCTTCACTTCGAGCAATTCCAAACCTCCACAGATACCATAGATGCTCTGCCAGCAAGGATAGAAAAATCCGGAAAGGAAGGAACGAAGCATGGAGAAGCAAGAAAAGCCGCACGCGATGCCAAGAGGAGAAAGACGTGTGGGACCAAAAAAAACAAGGGCCTGGAGGAAAGCCTCACTTGGCAGGTCGGAAAACACATCTCTCGATCTGGACGTGCTTGCGAAAAGAGCGGTGGAGATTGAAATAGATTGAACATCTATGCTCAATCTGAGAGGTGTTCAATTGTGCTCACAGTACAAGCGAGGGATTTGATGCGCTCATCACCAGCAAGCCGTCCGGTCTCCTCAGTTCTTCATGCTGACCCACCGCGTCGCCAATCTTGTCCTGAGTCAAAGTCTTCGCAGCGGCAGGTCAAGTTTGGGCAGCCCCCTTACACAACATCTTCGTGCCTGCAACCGCTTGCACTCGCCTTCCCGGGCAGTCAAAGCGCCCTGACAGAACAAGCAATCAGCACCGTATAGTGTGCGCAATCTTCTGCCTTTGAGATTGCTAGTTCGTGCTGTATGCTCGCGAACTCGGCCTGCGATCACATGTCAAAGAAAGATATCCGAGAGAAGTTGTGGCGGAGCCTGGCCTGCGCCTGATTGCTGACAATCTTTTCGTCAGCAACTTGCTGCTGCAACCTGCATCGCTCCTGCAAGGAACCCTTTGCAGAGCCTCATGCACTGCTCGCGCAGGCGGGCGCTCGCTTTTCATTGGAACCGCGTCATCGGCATCTTAGTGTCTATGAGATAATCAATACTCTCACTCATCTTCGAGAGGAACCCAGCATTTAAAGTTGCTGGACTGACAGCAAGGGCCGTCTCACATCAAAACCATCTGCCTTGGCCATCTTCTTGCATGGCTGATACTACTGTGACACAGCCCTAGTGGTGTCCAAGAATATCCGAAGCAGTTGTAAGGCACGCCGAACAGCTTCAGCTTCAGGTCTGCGAAGTCAAGAGAGTCAAGAATGGACATGCGCTGGGTGGCGAGCCGAGATGCCGTCTTTGGGGGCATGATCAACTCATGCCAGGGCAGTGTCTGCTGCGTAGTCGATGCCAGATTGAATCTCCTGCAAAGTCTGCGAAAATCTAGAGATGGTGCAACATGGAAGCTGGGAGATGCCGCCTTCTTCAAGGCAGCCTTAGCCTCTGCCAGCCGCTGCTCCTGCAACAAGCAATGCAACTCAGCTCTGCATTCAAGTGCAACTGTGCCCTTCGCGCCATGTTGCTGATGCTGCTCCAAACATTCCAACCACTGCACTTGAGCTGTGAATGGGATTGAAGTCCACTACTTAAGCTTCGAAGGCCTCGTACTTGTTGAGCTTTCCAATAGGGTGCACCTGACGGTCTGCTTAGCCAGGCGTTCGGTTCAGTACCGCGCGCGCTTCCTAGTGCCTTCTCAACTCCGGTCTTGCCGAACGTGACCTCAAACTGGGCGTGTTGCGCGCTACGTTGCTGGTGTGGAACAAGGATGCTGGCCTTGCTGGTGAAGTAGGGGCAGTCTGGCTCCACGCTAGACATTACCTCAGCCGGCTGCCCAGTACCAACATGGTGAGTTACCATTCATGCTGGTAGCCAAGTTACATAAGCACACTCGGTGGTGGGAGTTCCAGCTAAGCCAGCCAAAACGGCCTTTCCCAGCCTGCGGGCCGGCAACTTGGACATGATGCGGTCTGCCTTCGAAGCGCCTGGCTCCCGCATAGGCCATCGAAAGAGTGGCACTTCCTTTGCCATTCTTGGCATTGACGACGTCTGTCCCAGCATCCTATCAGCATTCTGGCGACAGGCTTGAGAATCTGTTTGCAGGGTCTCATGGGTCTCATCTCCTGCACGTGCTTGTCGAGGGCAGGAATATCCTTTTCAGGAATCTTTGCTGCGTGCTTGTCCTGCCAAGTGCTGGTTCAGCAAAAGTCACCGTAAGCGCGCAGAGCAATTTGAACCAGGCCTGCGAGAAAACAGGCATGATGGTGACCTGAGGCGAAGCTGCATCTGGAACGGCCGTTGAGGACCTTGCACTGTTCATCTGAGGTTGATGCACCTGCATGTCCTCCAATCACCGGCACCTGCTGCAAGACTAAGAGTACGCAACGCTTGAGCACATATGAGCGCATCGTACACGGCCGGGGCCACCTCGATGTTGGTGGGATCCTCGCCAGTGATCTCTGCAACAAACTTGTTGGCACGCACTCCATCCAGTGTGGTAACCTTGGTGCACGACTGCGACGGTGAAGTCTGCAACGCTGCTTTTTTTGCTGAGGCTCCGGCACCTACGATCTTCTTTGGATCCAACCCCTTCTTCTTGTACAGCTCAGCCATCGCTGGAACCACCTTCGCGGAACTATTCCTTTCGGCCCGGATTGTCCCATCCCAGCTTGGAAAGTCGCTACACTCAAATTTGGAGATAAGATGCGGCCAAGCTGCTGAGTTGACTGGGTTGACAATGAGAGCCACAACCTGGCGTGCTGCGCAAGCTGCAAGCTGCATCAAGCTGCACTTGCTTGTGACGAACGCAGTCTAATCCTTACGCGAGAGCTTGCATTCAGCTATCAGACTTGGGTTATGAGAGGCTGGCCCATACGTGCAAGAGTCAACACATACAGGCTTTGCAGCTCTTGTCTCGACTGCATAGCAAAGCCAAGTTGGGGAAAGGCTGTAATTCATGTCTTATGACTAGGTGGGCTTTGCTGTGCGCCTTGGTCAAGGGCAAGCCCCATCAAGTCGCTTCAAAACCAATTCTACATGCACTTCGAACGCCATATCAGCCATCCTGTAACATTTGAAAAGCTGCTTGAAAGAGATGTGGATCCGGTAGAAAAGAAGCTGAGGATTTATTACCGCAAGATTCCCGCCCGTTTCAGGAGGGCGCCCGGACATGTTTGGAGAATTTGGGCCCCGGCTGCGTTGGGGCAGTGCTTAGCGCAGGCTTCCACCACCTGCGTCCAGAAAGATGCATGTCATGAACGTTGCCTGCAAGTCCCAGCCTCCTTGGCAATACCAGCATTGATCTTGAAAAGATCATCGCGTGTCTGGCCAGGCTTCCTGCGTGTGGTTGACCCTTTGGTGGCAAGAAGTCTGTTTGACTGCAGATGCCCGTGCTCACTCCAGCAGGGCATGCATCGAGCAACGGAGCTTGATAGGCAAACATGCGCCGGTCAGCAAAGATTTCTGAGCCTACAAATTAACGAATCAATGTGATACAGCAAGGCAATGGCAAGTCGACAAATGCGAGAATACGGATGCGTAGTTACATGCTAGGCTGCAGTCCTTGGCATTCCAGCAGGGACTAGCACCAGGTTGCAACCTTTAAGGCAATCGCCGAGGACATCGATGGCCTGCAGTTTACACACAAGAGCACATGATGTGCGTGCGAGCGTCTGGCCTTCTCATCCTTGCTCTTGACGTAGCCCTTCACCTCCCAGGTTTTTTCCACTTTTTCCTGTTTGTTGTGCATCTTGCTGTGCTGTGGATGTTGCCTTGACCTTCTTCTCCAAATGGTTCAAGTCCGCGGCAACCTCACAAGACAATACTCCTTGTGAAGCTCTGGTTCTCTGAGGGGAGTAGGACCGTTTTAGGCCTCTTTGGACTGCTGCCACTTCCCATGGCCAAAGTGAAGCACTGTTCGGGGACAAGCTCTTTGGCGTCATGAAGGACAATCGTACTTCTCTCTTCAAGGCCGCCGGAAGCCGAAAGCTAACGCGTGAGCAAAGAACGCCTGGGGCTTCTGCACCACCGGGTGGGACCATCGCGAAGTCAAGATCCTCAGTATCTGTACTGACTGCCACGAAACTCCATCTGCAGCAGTGAAGCTTCACGACGCCATGACATCTCAGGACCCGACATAAACAGACAACTCACCTGAAACAGGAGTTCAAAAAATCACCTTGCTAGCTCCATTGCCCAGAACTGTTCTCGGCCTACGTTGTCGTCCATTGCCATCAAGAGGGAGAGCGGCTGGCCAATACCACCGCTGCCGCCACACACGCAGACCTTTGAAGGGAAAACAACAGCACCCTGTGCGAAGCTTGGCGGTCCTTCCCCGCCTTAAAATTGCCTTTGGCAGCGCCGCCAAAGAAACAGTGGCTGGTCTGCGGTCGCCTATCCTCCACCAAAAACAGACATCTCCTGCTCATGCCTGATCTTTCATTTCATATTCGAATTCTGCCAATCGCAATGCGATGGTTTCACAAGTAAAGCTGGCGATGAACTGCAGACTTGGGTCCTGGTTTGCTACAAATAGAGCTGAAGCTCCCAACAGCCCAGCTGCCGCCCATGCTTTGTGATAGGCTGCGCCTGGCATGGATTTTGAGATTCCTCGATGCGTTTTGGCAGAAGGCTTCGGGCTTCCGAATCCGTTCGGAAAGATTTGAATACAATTTCGGTAAAGCGAAGGCATCATTTAAGTAGGAGGCATCCCCATAGCCAACGGGCCTTCCCGCGCTGGTGGCACAAAGGTCGAAGCGCACCTCTTGCTGTCTCGCCCCATGGACAGAATGATCACATCATAACGAGCAATGCCAGCCACTAGAGTCACTAGATCAACCAGGAATTCCAAGGACAGCCTAGAGAAGGGAAGCAGGTGCCGTGTGGCCACCCGCCGGTACCTCAACGCGCTCATCTTTGCGAGTCTGCCCTTGTTCAGGAGTTGCCGGATTTATTGATGCAATGAGGCTGCGGCATCTTTGTCGAGGGTAAGGCACCAAAACCGGCTGGAGATCTTAAGCCAAAAGTCTGCGAGGAAATGTGACGGAGCAGATGCTCAGAGGAGGCGTGGGCTGTGTAACTGGCAGAAACGTGAAGCAAGCGCCGAGCGCTCATCGCTCGTCCTGCTCGGCATCGAGAGCTTGCTGTGCTTGCTGATCCAACAGTGCCTCACTGCACACACCCAAAGAGCTGCCCGCGTGGCAACTTAAAAGGTACTTGACTTAGAACACGTTTCGACCCAGAGAGCCTGCAGCCGCGAAGCCTCCCTGCTTGCTGCCGCCACCTAAGGGACACCACGGCGAAACATGCGCCGTTCCTTCTCACAACGGCTATTTTGGCTCCCAAATGGCTTTTGGCCTGGGCTTTGCTGTTGCTGGATGCCTCACGCTCTTCGGCCAACTCTGCCTGCACAAGGCCGAGCCATGCATGTCAAGCCGAATTGCTGAAGGGCTGTGTGCAGCAGCCTTTAAAGCGGCGAGCTCGTCGTTGATGCGCGTGGCATCCGTTGAAGCCTGGGATGAGAGCCTCCGCCAATTCCATTTCTAACAGCAGATGGAGCAAATTGCATGCACTTTATCCTAACGACTTGTTTTGGACTGGAAATTGGATCGGGCTGGGCTGGAGATCATCTCATATCCCCACATGCTGCGCACAGGTGTGCAAAGAGCCTCTTCTCCTCCTCCAGGGCATCTCTTGCCTGCTTCAACCTGAATCGCTTTGCACTTTGTTGGGGTTTGAAGTCTGTGGGGTCCACTGCCCAAATCTGCCCAACTCATTCCAACTGACTCAGCACATGATGGCGATGGGTCCAAGCTAGGATCCTGGCTCTGCATCTGTTGCAGAAGCCTCCACAACATGACACACACAGGAAGCTGCTGCTGCTGCTGCTGCGGAACCTTAAACTGTGATGGAACCATCCGACTAGCTGGCTGACTTCGAATACAGTATACAAAGCAGTTGCTCACATACAAATATACCCTGCAGCGCAAGATGGACAGTTTTCCTGGAGCTTCGTAAGTCTGAGCACATCCTTTACGCATGCCAAACCTTCATCACCCTGGCTCATGTTGCAAGTCACATCCCTTTTGTGACATGAAAAAAATCCCAGCCTACATACAGCACTCACACATATTCCCGCCTTGCGTGCGCTGGAGAGCTCTTCAGTCCTCTGCGACAGGTTGCAGAAGTTGCAGGTGTGACCAGCTCAGCGCATTGGAGCTCCTGAGGTCAAGTTCCCGACGAAGCTCATCCAGCTGCGCCTTGTTGCCTGAAGCCTTCGCGGTCAAGCTTCCTGTGTAATGTGCTAGTGCAGTGTAGACACAAACAGCCTTGGCCAGGTCACTTTGCATCTCCGACAGCTTGGCTTGGAGTTTGCTCTTGGCCTTCGGCAGCAAGTCAAAACGGACGTTGCCATCTGGCTGCCACATGCTTAGATGACTGAGATCTTGCCACCTGCCTCAACCTCGTTCATCAGGGATGCCTGCGATGCTCAACTTGTCCGTACTTTTAAATTCTCGTCCGACAGAGTAGCCCCATGCAGACCTCTAGCGAAGAAACTTTCGCCTTTTGCTTTGACAGTTCCTGCGCCACATGAGCTCCCATTTCGTCCACTTAGAAACCAGTCTCAGCCTCTTCCTTCTGGCGCACAGCCTCCTGTCGGCATGGCAACAAATTCAAATGTCAGATTCTGAAAATCAAGCTAAGATTCTAGTCTAGTAACGCAAGCTTCTTAGCTCCAAAAATTTCGCAAACCCTTCAAACAGCCTCTTCGCAAGCCTGTCCAAGCCGCTTGGAATAGCACCTCAACATTTTTTCTCTGACCACAGGCCTGTAGCTCCTGCAGCTTGTCGGAGCTGCCCTTGTCCTCCTGAGGCACAGCATGCTGGAAAGCTACTCCCACACCACGACACGGTCTGCTTGACGCAGACGTCCTTGATTTGCTGTTCTAGTGCTGCCCGCTGCGTCTCCTTGACCTGCAGCAGCTGAAGCTTGAGGCGCTCGGGCTGCGAAGCCCCTGCGGTCGGCCTCCAAGTCGTGCATGAGCTGCTGGATCCTCGCCTGTCATGACATCTTTCTTGGAACTGATTCTGGACGTGCCTGGTCTGAGCATACACACAGCATCCATTCCACGCAGGGAGACCATGCTACCATGCTGGATCATGCCGGGACAGGAGCCTTTGCTTCATCATTATCCTGAGCGAGGTCCTGAAGGCGCTGCCTGTGACGCAGGGCTCGCATAATTTTCCCGCAATGCAAGCGACATGGATGAACTGCTCCGAGTGCTCGACATTTCCTCCTCCCACTTGCCCAGTCGCTCTGAAGCTGCGGCAGCTCCGGCCTGGACAGCAATCGCCTGGACTTGCCTGCACATCTTTCTCTAGGTCAGGCCCTGCACGTGTACGCTGCCTTGATTTGCTCGATTTCTACGTTCTTCGCTTCGAGCTGCGCCTGGAAAACTTCATAAAACGCAGAAAAACAAAGCTTCTGGAGTTGTGAAATCCCTTTGCTCCACATCTGCTCTGCTTTGGCCTTCAGGTTGGTGACTTCTCTGGCATCGTTGGTGCGATTCAATGAAACCTTGTGCCGCCCAATGCAGTGTCAAAGGAGCACCAGTGTCCCAGCACATTTGCAGCCTCTTTGCGACATTCTTTCATGTCCTGAGGAGAAACCCGTTCAGAAACATGGAGTGGTTTCATTCCCTGCTTGGCCTCCTCAAGCCGGCGAACACGTTCCTCGTAGGCCTTATCGATTTCGGGCATGCATTTGGACGTCTCCGAGGCTCTCTGACTGTCTCAGGCGCTAGCGGAGCACTTCCTTGCGAGACTCGCCGCCTCGGAGCGCAGGCGTGTAGCTTCGGCCTGCACTGGCTTTCATCAGTGCGAGCAACGTTGCCTGAATGGCTTTTGTTTGTGAGCTGCGCCTTGCGCTATATGTACTCTTATCTGCCTACACCCTGCGAGAACATTGCCGCTCATCGGATTGAGCTTCTTACGCATGATTACCACTGCAGAGAACTCAGCCTGCGATTCGCTAAGCTTCTTCTGCAGCTCTTCCTTGTTGAGTGCAAGGTCTGTCTCGTGATACCGTTCACATCGTGCTGAGTGACTGTCCTCAGACTTTGCCGTTGCTTCGATCTCTTCCTTCATCTTACCCTTTTTTGAAACCAGCTCCTGATACAGATGTGTCAAGCTCGCAGTCAGAAACGTGTGCCACTTGACGCGGGCTCCTGCTGCAATCGTGCCTGCCGTCCATGAGATGTTGTCCACTCATTAGCTGAAGGACACTGCAGTAGGCTACTGCTTGCCAAGGTACTCGCTCTTCACGCACCTGCTTGTCATGCTTTTCCTGGCATCTTTGTACGCGCATCTAGTAAAATTACAAGCATTGTACAGTCCAACATCTGAACCTGAAGCTCACTGAAGGTGCGGTCGCGCTCCTTGAACAATCGATCAGACACAATCGATGCAGGGCAGCGAGGCCAGGAGACTCGTGTCTGGACAAGGTCGTGACTAGCCCAAATTCGTCTTGCAGTTCGCGCCGATGCCTTACACACTGTATTGGTGTTCTCAGCCAGCACAGAATTTCAACTCAGAGTGCTGGGCTTTGCCAACTTGGCCTTATGCTCTGCCTGCACGACACGCCGAATGCGGTTATGCTGTGGCAGATGCTTGCGGTACAGAATTGGGGCCTGAAGAGCTGCGACATTCTTCTGATAAAGTTCCTCCAGCCTTCTCTTTCAAACACTACACGTCGGGACATACATGAAAAGTTCAGGTGTACAGCCTTCGCTTTTCAAGGTCCAATTGTTGCGGGCCTGAGGGATGCGCGCAGAGAGAGCCAGCAACAGTCAACTACTCCCCGTTTGTCTTTCAACGCATGGAGCGTTATGTCCACATCTGCTTCAACATGCAAGAACTCTTTGCTGAACATGTTAAAGCGTTTGCCTTCCACAGGGGGAGAACCCGTGCCTATTGCTCAAAAGGCTGACAAACTAAGCAAGCACAAAAAAAATAAAACCGAATTAAAAAAAAAAAAAAAAACAGCGCCTCTGGGCGTCAATACGGCCACAGCTCCTCTCTTGGACTTGGCTTTCCCGCTCTTCTGCGTTGAGAGCTCGCTGGTGGCACTGTCTCTGTGACTGCGCGGCTTCCAGTCATCACTGACAGGTTTGGGTGGGATGGCCTCCGAAGCCGTTAAAAAAGTAGGTATCTGAATTTAATGGAAAAATGAAGCTCGCTTCCGCGAAAGGGATTTCCAGTCTTCGGTGTTCTCCGTCCAAAACTAGAAAAGAGACCGCAAGCGAAGTGCTTCCGCAAAAGCTTCTTCGAGCTTCCGCGCGCACAGTGGGAACCACTTTTCGGAAGTTGTCGCCGGCCGATTTCCGAGATTGTTTCCGAATCTAATTAACTTTCCTACGCTGCCTATTTTTGAACTGCTGATGATTCCACGTTGTATATCCTCTTATACTCGGGCTCCGCTGTTTAATCTCCTGCGCCATTTCCGGAAAGGTTCGAAGCACCAAACAATTGCTTTAGCTCACCATGCTGGCAGTACAAGTCGGTCCTTAACTCGGCCCAAGAGCCATCCCTACTTTAGGCACTCGTGGTAACGGAAAAACCGTGCTGGCTTGGTATGCTGGAGTTTTAGATTAACCAGAACTCCAAAACGGCGCATCCATGCAATGTTGCAAAACAGCAAGAAGAGCTGCATGCGAAACGCATAGCTCTCTTTGACGTGGTTTTTTAATCCCAGACATGAACCTGAAACCTTGAGGTGTATCAAATTATGCATGCTGGGTGCTGCACTGGCAGTGTCATCCGAAGCCTGTCAGACCGTTGCATCAACATCTTGTCAGTCAGCATCTGTCAGCATTCCATTTCTTGGCAGCTCAAAATTCTGGGTATATTGCTTTTCTTTCAGGAGTGTATACTGCTGGGAAGACTTAACACCAAGATTCGATGTCATGGAGAGGATACTTGAACTCTTGGCAGAGTGGGCATGTTCGTGCCTCAGCCGACACTGCAGCAGCCGATTCCTTCACTTCTGGCCTGGCATCCACGACTTGCCACGGAAACCAAGTCATTTGGGGAGGTTCTCGAAATTGAGGCTCTATACTGGGGATCTCCGAACGAGGGTCCTGTTGTACATTGCTGATGTTGCCATTACGGGCCTGGGGTGGGGATCCTCTGCCAAACTGAGGCTCGATGCTTGCTACGGCAATTCATTAGAATAGGCAAATCTCACTGGGCGCCTTCAGGTCCTGAACTTCTGCAGCTGTGAAGGACGAATGGTGAAGAGTTGAACACACCAACACATCTCCGGACTCGTGGGGGAGGTCATGCAGATTCACGGTATCTTCCATGGAAGATGTGAAGCGTGGAGCTGAGCGGCGGGTCTCCAATGGGCGGTGGTGGAGCCCCACCAGCTGGCCGTGGCCTCTTCACCGCAACTGCAACCAGCGCGCAACAACATCCACCTTGCGCTTTTGCTGAGGCAGGCACGGTCCATCCGCTCTGGATGCTGGCTGCATCTTGCCAGGTCGTGAATACATTGAATACATTGCCCACCATGACAACCGATGACTCCTCTGAAAGCTGGTGCCTTGGGATCCTCAGGTCTGTCTCTCCGGTCCTCAGCATCCAGACACACTTTTGCCACGCGGCCTCCTGCTGGCGTCTTTCACCCGACATCCCGTCCTCCTCGCTCAGAGACTGGGAGGGAGCCCTTTCAAACAGTACAGTAGAATGAAATAGCATCGGGCACAAAGCGCGGGCTCACAGCGAGGCCTCGAGGAATCAGTGGATGGCGGGGGATCCTTGTGTGCAAGTCCATCAGCCGCTGTCCAAGTTGAATTAGTCAGACAATGTCAGACATATCATCTGACTTCTTTCGCGCCTCTGCAAGTTGGCTCAGCTCATCCGGCCTGCCTGCGTCACTCTCATGCCATAGTGTGCTCCCAAGTTGCACATGCATGAACCAGAAACGTACGCCCATGCTACGCGCATGCGCACGAGTTCTGAGGCTGTGGCTATCTCTTGCAGGGACTCCCCGGGCGCTCAGTGGCGCCAGAGTCTTGGGTGCCTGCACTCTGGTCATGTGACATCATGTGGACAAAACTGTTGGTGCGCTTGCCTCGAGCCTGACCTCATCTTTCTCCTCCGATTTCTCTTTCTTGGATTTCTTCTCTTTCTTATCCTGCCCGCAGGGCTTTCTATTCAAGATCGCGAATCCTGGGCAGCCGCCTTCTTCTTTTTCTTTTTCTCTGTGTCACCTCTGCAACTACTGCTGGAGATCGAGGGTAAGTACTCAGTTGTTGCTTTCGCCTCCGCTCAAACTCATCACGCCACCACCTCGATTCTTCCATGCGCACTTCAAATGATATCAATGCTGGCATCGAAGGCTCCAGGCTAGCGCTGGCACTCCTCCCCATGCTGCCACTCTCGTCTAGCATGTCCCCTGATGGCAAGGGCTGGCTTCGAGGATTCAGGTGTTAGCTGCGTGGCTTGGGCACTGAGGAAGTATTTTGCAAAAGGCCAGTGGTCAAATACCGTGCAGATTCGATAGGACCCTCCCTGGTGTGGCGCTATCAGTGTGGTTGCCTCTTGGCAGTCTCAGGCAGGACCCGAAAAACTACCGGCTCTGAGGAACCTTTCTAATCTACGTCTCAGGCAATCACCTTCAGCATGATAAGCAGGCGCCGACCATTGGCTGCGCAGGTCGAATCGTCAGATTTAAACGCCCATAGGGTTGTTCTGAGTCAGGCACATGGCGACCGCGTCACGTGAGTGCCGCGCGCATTGCCATAACTCGGCGGAGCCCGGCATGATACGCCAGGATCAGGACACTTACCCCGGAGCGTGCTGGCAGAGTTCGGGGTCTTTAGAGCCTACGCTTTGAACCTTCGTCTCACACGGAGACTGTGCAAGCGCTCCGTCTCGTCCAAGCACACGGAGAAGCAGGAGGTTTCGAGACTTGCGGGATTTCAGCACCCTGCACGAGAAGGCCAGCTCGTCAGTCGTCTGGTAAGACCAGACTTGGGGGTCTCCATGGTCTGAATTGCAGATCTCTGTGAGTCTGTGTCAATGTCTTGTGGTTTGGGTTCCCTTTGCGTGATGGAACCTTGGTTGAGGATGCGGAGGCTCCCTCAACTGCTTCTCGGTGGTCTCTAGCTGAAGACGCTCCCGTGACCACATCATTTTGCGATCTTATGTCGTCTTCGAAGTGGACAAGCTTGGCTGGCATTGTCTGCCAATACGTTTGGCCTGTGCTTGCTAAAGCTTTGCTGGTACCCGGATTGCAACGGCCCATGTCAGCAACCTTCGCTGGCGTGCTTACTCCCAGCGACAGGTGCTTGGGCTTGACTGACTGAGGTGTGCTCTCTGAGGCAGCAGCACGCAGGCGCAAGGCCTGAATCGTTTGCTGGCGCTCGGCAGAGCAAAGGTCCAGCTCAATTAGCAATCCCTCCAACTCTGACAATTCAAGCCGTTCAAGGTCTGCAAAGCTTAATCCTTGTGCCACAAGCTTTGATTCCAGCTTCTCCCAGAGAACCGATGATGACCTGATGTCGACTTTCAGGCTGCTCGGGGCAGCAGAAAGCTCACAGCACAACATGGCCTGGCCCATATCGCCAGCTCATGGAATCTGTTTGACGCTGATGCGCATGCGTGTATAGATTTTGCTAAATATGAAAACGGAAGAAATTATCTCAACATGTCCAACACAAACGTGCAATGCACTCTCATAAAAACTGATCTTGAGCGGCGATGTCAGAAGCCCACAGGTGCATCCACAATCACAGAACTATGATCATTTCTATGCCTACCAGCCTCAGACTCAATTGCATCTGGCTCAGGCACTGCTACAGTTACCATGGCAAAGCTAAAGCTGAGGCTCGGGCCGCTATCGTCCTCCTTGTTCGAGAGCCCTAGGCCTGCCAAGGTGACTTGGACAATCTTTAACAAGCTGAAAGCCCAGGAAGGCTGGGCATGATGCGGTGCGCCAGATCTTCGAGCGCAGCCTCAAGCTGAAGCCATGAGACAGCTTGCCGCGTTTGGCATCTGCTGTTGAAAGCAACTGCCGTGCAGCTCTGTACAGATGAAAATCTGGGTCCGCGCTTCATCGAAAGAAAGGCCATACCTGAGCAGATGTAAAGGATTCTGCGATGCGTGACGGCGTGATCCATCTTGGCAAGGAAGCTTTTCTAAAGCAAACTTCATCGGTCCCCTGTGAGTGAGAGTGGCTGCCTCAGGCGAACCGAGCTAGCCAACAGCACACCCACTCAGATGACCGCTTCGTGAAACGCAGTGCTCTGCAACTGCTGCTGCTGCATGCCACAATCTTCAAAGGAGCTCAAGAGCTTGAGTGTGACCATGCAGTGTGCAGGAAGCCTCAGGAGCTGCTGCTGCTGGAGGAGCTGGAACTGGAACCATGCCTGGCAGTCAACGCATCCGCATGACCCATAATGAGCCATGCCACTGGCTCTGAAACAGGCAGGCCGGACTTCTTCAGCTTCTTGAACTTTTTGATTTTTTTGTCCTGTTGAGGCACTGGCTTGGTTGCCTGTGGCTGGGCGCATCTGACGTCAAGCCTTTTTGTCCTTTTTCATTTTCTTTCCTCAGACACAGCAGGCGAAACAAGATAAGAGTGGAAAATAGTGGAAATGCAGTGGTTCAAGTGGTAGTGAACACAAATACCGCGCTAGTTGCGAAGGAAGGAACCGCCATGACCAAAGGCTTCTTGGAATAGCATGTGCCCGGCAGCTGCAGCACTGATGCCCATGGCACCTATGGCGCGGGCGTCTAGCAGCATTGAGCCTACAGCTTCTGGACCCTGGAACTTGCCTGCATGACCAGCAGCATAACCATGAGGCGCAGCATGCGGTATGACGTGAGGCGCGGGATGTGGTGGAGCCACACCATGCGGGCCATGGCCATGGTGTGCACCGGGAATGCCAGCATGGGCCGCTCCAGACGCGTAGCCTGCACTTCCCGCTGGACCTCAGGCGCTCCGTCACACATGGTCGTTTTGGTGGCGTCTTGATGGCAAGGACCAGTGAACTCGGGCCAAGTGGCCGCTTCGCCAGGAGATTTGAATCTTCAACTTCCCAGCCTTCCTGCAGCCACCAAATGCATGCGACCGCATCAGCTCCAAGGATCCTGCAATGACAGCGCTGCTCTCAAACATGGCAACCTTTCAAGTCTAGGGCTACACTTGCTACACGTACACGCAGGAATGCACCTCACAGCATGGTTTGCCGCTGGTACTGTCTCTAGGTACGGTTCCAGAAGCTGTGACCGTCACCCCTGAATTGCAGAAGGCTAACTCTAGCTCACAACCTGAGAACGGCGGAAAGTTGCTGGCTGAGGGACGAGTTGGCCAACATTTCTTGAGTTCGCCCATTGGCCTTTATTGATGTTTAGGCAGTTTGGGGAAACTGGGATGTGGTTTAGAAGCAGGTAAAGGATAGTAAAGGTATGTTTGCGAGGAATGGTCTTCTGCTCCGGAATGTCAGATTATCCGGAGATGATCTTGCTTTGTTTGGAGCTTTGACTCATACTCCTCCCACCTCTCCACCCTTCCACCCTCCTAGAGTCCAAACTCCTCCGCCAGAGCACCTCTCCTACGTCCACCCTTCACATCATTTTTCGCCCCAAACTCACTGGGCTTGGCCTTGAAGCGAGAGGCTATGGCTCTTTCTGCGTGTCGACTCCCACCACATTGTGGCTTCTGCCCGTTTGAGATGTGGCGCCTGACACCTCGCCCTGGAGACCACAAGAGCTGTTAATGCACGATCACAGGTCAGAGGAGGTCATAGGGACTCATCAAATTCTATCATAACCGCACCCTTTATATCTCCCTAGACACACCAAGCCACAAAGGCGATGGCGCCAGGACTGTCCTTCAAAGTTTGAATGGAGCGGGAGCCCCTTGTACACAGCTTCCCCTATGATTCCATCAGCAACCAAGATATTGCTGTCCATGGCAAGGAAGTGGATGTCGGGCTCTCCGTGCCAGTCTATAACCTGCGCCCAGTGAAACTTCGCCTTCTTGCCAGCATTGGTCATCACCTGTGTACGGAACTCCCGTCCACCCATGCGAACCTTGATGTACGGATCCATCTTCCCGGTCCAATCCTACAGCAGGCTGTTAGCAGATCTGGTTGGTAACATGTGGGGTTAATGCGACTTCAAGCCAGGCTTCAATGTCATAGAGATCCTTCGCGCTGTCCACTAGAAGCATGAAGCTTGCGGGGCTTGCGGGAGCGTGAGAAGGTCCAGGCCCGCAAGGCGGTGACCAGGGCGTGTGGGCAAGCTCAGCTGGCATCGCGCCACCCACGCCACCCACAACATGCCCAGCAACGACTGGGACTGGAATCGCTGGCTTTACCTTAGTGAATGCATCATCCTGCCCTACAGTTCAGAGATGTCCGAAGTCGAGGATGCCAAACGCCAGCAGGGTGCTCGGGCATCACAGACTTCATCATGCCCCTTTCCAGTGGCACACCTTCGCAAATGCAAACTCGGCTTTTAAAGTGTTGCTGAGCTCGATCTGCTGGCGATGCTCCGGTGAACATGCGATCAATGCAATCATTGCCCTGAGCTCGTCTGAACCCCCTTTATGAAACACACATCCGCTCTTTGCTGGTATCCTGGTTCATCAATGCAACTGCACATGAGCGGAGATGAGGCGGTGACCTGCGGCAGCATGTGTCATAACCTGCAGCCGTACCTCTGCCGCAACTCATTTTGCCTTAGCTGCAAGTGATATTTGTGAGTGGAGAGATGCCTCCACCTAAAATCGACTTAAGCTGCGAGGGGATGGCAGGAAGAAGGAGCAGCCAGCGCCGGTGAGCTAGGACAAACTTGACAACTCGCGTTGTGGTTGCGGCCACCGCTTGTGGCACAGTTGCGACAGCACGTGTCATATCCACCTTTGGCCTTGCTGCTCCGCAAGTGTATCATGTATGCAATATTATGTAGTTGCGCAATGTTGTGCATCTCAGGTTCAGGCTGCATGGCGACCACACCCGATTTTGCACAGGGGACCTTGGTGCAAATAACGCATATCAAAGGCATCTGTGCTGTTGCGGCAAAGGCGCCTGGGTCCGCCATGTTGACCGGAATGGCGGTCACGGCCATGGCATCTTTGGCAGTCGAATGTGGCTGGCCATGCTATCTGAGCAACCCTTCTGAACTGCAGATCTTCTCCGTGCTCAAAAAACCGAAGTTTGTTGGCCTTGCCAAGGATCAACATATTATATGATGATAAGCTGCAGGTGTTGTTGGTTACGCTTCTGGGCTTTCAGCCACAAGCAAAGCAATTCGCTAGAGTCACACACATGGGTGTCCATGAGCACGTAAGACACCACCCTGAAAGCATTTCTGATGTTTGGCCTCCGGTCCATTAGCTGAGCCGCCAGCTTTTTTGCTCTTTCTTTTTTGTAGAGCATCCTATGGTACTCATCACATGGATGATCCCAGACCTTGAGTAGCTGCAGGAACTGAATGATGCCTTCACGTATGCCAACTGGGTTGGAGGCACTTTCGCCAGTGTCGAAGTTGAAGTAAAACACCTCGTTCTCCTCGAAAAGAATGCTCTAGCGGCACTGCAGGGGATCAATTTCCTCAAGATGCATAACTTTCGCGTTCCCTTGGGACAGCCTCTCCCGTGGTGCAAGGCTTCCAGGGAGGTGGTAAGGGGACCTGAGAGATGCAACAATTTGCTTGGTTTTGGGAAAGATTCCCCCACCTTCAAGCCAGCTCTGGCAATCCACATGAGATCCTTGTCGTTCTCGAGGTCCATTCCAAGCCTCAGCTTCTCTTGAACCATTTCCGTCAAGTACAGCGATTCTCTTTCGGCACCATTCGGAATAATCCAAAATCTCCTGCTCTGTCGGCTCGTACTCCTTGCAGCGGCTTTGTCAAAAATTGTCAGAAGGAGGCAGCAAACCCCCAGCTGCTTGATGGCAAGAGCGGTCCGAGTCAACATGCTCCTCAAGAACAACAGACCTTGGAGACAAGCAGGCACGAAACAAATGTTGTGATCTGCAAAGCAGGCCTCATCAATCAATTCAACATACAAGTCAAGTGGATCGCAGAATGATCCTCCTACACCGTGACCATCCATTTCGCACGGCTGTTTTGCAAATCAACGCAGCTTGCAAGAGAATCGCGCGGGCTTACAAAGTCTAGCATTTCTGGAATCTTGCGTTCCCCCAATTTGCCAATCCCTCATGGCAGAAGGCCCTCGCCTGAATGAACCCTCAAAACCTGATTCAGTATCAAATCTGATTGAACTGGACATTTTGTCGCATTCCTGCATTCCTGATTACTATCCAGCATCTGGTCCTAAGTGATTTGTTTCTTGCAGTGCAAGGAGCTGCTTCAGTTTGAGGCTAGTGGCCCCCGGTGCCCAGATGCTTTACAAGCTCTTCTTGGAGCCATGCAGACACTTCAGTTTGAAATACAATTCCAGTTGCTGTTCCATCGTCTCGTTTCATCATCTATGAACAAATGCCACGCAGACTGCAAGCACGGTCAATACAAGCCCTGGGCACCCAACCGCGTTTCCATCGCTCTGTCCTTCATGATGCAGGTGCATACCAGCAACGTTTCACTGCAGGCATTATAGAACCATATGACAATGCCTGAATCACATGAGCTTCTGCAGCTGCACACCGCCGCGATGCGGCACCATGCAAAGTCAATGAACTCTTGCACCTCCCTTACGGGCACCCTGTATGTGGTTGCAACTTCTTGGGTGCTGATGGCTTGCAGCAGGAGTTTTCCATGTAAGCAGTCTGCGCATGGGCGCTATCTTGGTGAAGTTTTCTGCCATCGTTGCTCTACCTGGCTAGCATCTTGCTACTTTTGTGAAACCTGAGCCAAGAGCAAATCACCATCATCTTGAACAAAGTCATCTCTATGCAAAATCATCTTGCAACGCGGCACGTGTGTGAGTTCAACAGGGCCTGCGCCAAATTCTGTGATTCCGGGGCTATCATGCAAGCCTTCGTTTCGACTGCGATAAACAGAGCCTGAGGCCGTCAGCCTGCAGAGCCCCAGGGGGAATTCATGGACGTGTAATGCTGTCTTCTGCATGGAAACAAGAAGGGCGATGGCTCCCGGGCCCACACAGCGACTGTTGCACAAAGCAACAGTGTGTCTACCAACTTCTGCACGTTAGATTTTGCGAAAGGCCACGCAACCTTTCTGCAGGGTTTCCTTCTGCACGTCGGAAAAATCATCAACGTAGTTCGATTCATGTGCTGATTCAGCCGACGGATTCAGCACGTGATTGCTTTGCAGTACGAAATCCTTCGGCAGCTGCTTGTGTTAAAGCAGTGCAGGATTCTTCGATGGGTTAACTTGACAAGTGAATGTTCCGCCCGTAGCGTGGGACAAATCATGAGCTGCCATTGTTTTACAATGGTACAATTGCGGGAAGGAACCACTATCCACTGATGCTCCGCGAATTGTGACGGCAAAGGTGCATTTGATGCAAGCGGGGCCGAAGCCGAGGTTTATACCCTGGAGGCGTCTGCTGCCGCTAAAGAACTCCCTGCGAACGCGAAGCAATCAGCGCCTGCGACCGGTGGCGAGCAATCGCTGCGCTGTTGGTGTTTGAGTCTGAGGAAAGGAGCCGCGGTAACCAGTTCGGGAAGGTTACGAAAAAGGCTCCTCCGATGTGTAAATAGCAAGTATGGTACGATTGTCAAGGGCATTTCCTGTTCACCACGAGCAGGCGTGTCTCCCCTGCGTCCGGGACGCTCACTGTTTAGCGGGCTTCCTGGAGGCTCTATGATATGGGCAGAAGGGTGCTCCGCCATGTTCTTCGTCTGGAGAGGGGGCCTTGCACGTCCGCTTTTGGGAGGACTTGCGAAAAGGCCTCCCGTCTCGCAGACTGGATGGAGTGACCTCCCGGGCAATGGCAAAGGAAGGGGAGCATCTGCAGGCGCCACTCCACCGAAAACCTTCTAATTACCCGCCAAAGAGAATGGCAAGAGTGGAGGCGATACATCAAAGCACACCAAAGGTTTTGTCGAGGCACCACGGACCCTCCAAAAGGTCCTCGTGGGTCGAGGAACGTTTGAGTGTTGAGGATGAATGCTATCAAGCCTGGCAGCCTGGCAGCAGTTCGAGAACCGTCTGCATGGCGTCGAAGGCGCTGATGGAGAAGGATGAGATCGTCCATCTAAAGTCAAGTCAAGGCAAGCAAAAGACACCAGAGGAGGACCTGATTTCATAGGAAGTCCCGGCTGCATGCCCGTGCGAAGCAAGCTGCACACCAACTTTTCAACCCCAAGTTGAAACTCTCCACTATAGCCGTAGCTTAGTGTTGGAGCGCGTAGACGCTCTTGCACGTATAGGAGCGGTTCTCGCTTGTACTGAATCGGACTTGAGTCATGCCGCTGCGAACGAAACCAAAGGATTGACCGGATCAGGGCTTGTTGCGCTAATCACGGTGCGCCCACGCACACTCGAGGTAGGGCGGCACTGGCAAGGCCATAAGCCATGGGGGCAGAGTTTTCTCAATAAGAGTCGGCATGTGGGTGCTATCACCCGAACTGCTGTGTTCGTACATGCCTTTGTTTAAAACCCTGATTTGGGCCACGCTACGTTGCATGCTCGCAGAGCATTAGTGTTATCAGTCAGAGGTAGGGCAATAGCAAATGTTGGCTGATTATGGGTTGTTAGAAAGTTCAGCTTCAAGACAAGAATGTCCTGCTAAGTCAGCCTTGTTGTACCTCAACGTCGGCTTGTGAAAGCATAGAAACAACATTGGAAAGCGCGGCGCACGCCCGTCTCCCTGCAACCTTCTCCAAGCGCAAGCAGAGCAAACAATTTACCGAAGGGGTCCCAAGCCATGCGCGCTCGGCCCCTGCATGATGCCCCGCCCCCATTTCTTCCTATTTCTCCTCCTGGCTTCACACAGCATCGGCAATTTTTGCGACTCTCTGCATCCTGCGACATGTAACTCTGAGGCCCAAATGGCAGCCTTCCCTACATGCGAGCAGAGAAAATAGAGCGCTGATGGGGCTAGGCCATGTGCGCACCAGGAGACTTCAGGCGCCTGCATGACGCCTGCCTCCATTTCTTCCTACTTCTCCTCCTAATCGGCAAGCCTGGATAACTCTAAGTCCCTGTACGGTTCTTTCACACGACTGAAATCAATCTTTAGATCCCTTGATCTTGTGTGACCCGCACGGCTTCCATGCTCAGTGCAAGAAGCGCCCTGCATGGACGGTATGCAATATGTCTTACGTACTGTTTGGGTGCTTCTCAAGACATCCTGCAAATTCTGCAACTTCGGGCCATATCGACATCTCTGCCGGCAGTATGATCCAGCCTAGACTCACGCTAGCTGCATGAGGCAAGGCCTGCTTTGGCAGCAGCAGCAGCAAATGACTCTAACTTCATGAGGCAATGTCTGCTTCGATTGCAAGGAATAAACTCAGGGGCCTGGGTGACCACTTTGTTGAGCTCATTAGTAGGGACTGGGGCCGAAAAAAAACAGATTCCCGGAGCCCAGGCCCGGGAGAAAGTTTTTAAATCCAACACAGCTCCAAAACCTGGCCGGGTCGGGTCAGGCCTCCACGGCCAAAGCAGTGCCCAAACTTGCATATACTGGTGCTCTACAAAGACTAGCGTTCATCCTGGACTGAGACATATTATAATATGGACTAGCGTGCTTCTTCAGCCAAAACTTATCCGTGTTCTGCATGTCCAAACGTGGTTTCAACTCATGCTCGTATTGCTGCTTTTGTTGCTGCTGCTGCTCACCCCTCCGCCTCCTCCTGCTAGTGGACGACTAGGTATGTCTTTTTCTGGCCAGAAGTCCAGCGGGACAGGCGTGGGTCGCAGTGTTTGACCCATCACAATTTACTGCTCAAATAGCCTTTGCAACCTGCTCTGCGTCTGACAAACAGCCGGACAGGGCCACATCAGAAACAATTTTGGTCAAAAACATTCCTGGACAACATCACTTTGATCTATGTGCCAGACTCTGCTTGTCGCTGCTACACATGCTTCCAGCCGCGCTCTAAACCACATGAGTCAACTGTGCAAAGAGCGCTTTTGAGCTCTGACAAGCACACGCTGGCATCCGCGCTTGCTTCTTTCAGGAAGGCGCCGCGCGCTCATCAATAACGCTGCCATGAACTCAAACTCCTTCCAGCAGCGTCCGAACCTGGCAGCGAATCAAATAATTAAGCACCAAGAAAGCTCTGCTGGAGCTGCAATTCTATGCTCCAGCCTGAGACCGTCGAGTATGTTCATGTTCAGACCCATGCATGTCCCATGGGGAATGTGACGCTGTTTATGAATATTCTCCTTATTGTTATTGTTATTATTCGTTGCCCCACTCTAGCCTCCATCCACAGTTAGACCATCAAAGGCCAGACGCGCTAAAGATAAACCTAATTGGGGTGAACCATCAAGAACAAACTCACCACCCCTACCTTTTTAACTCCTTCGGCAAACAAAGCACCTGGGCAGGGGTATGTGTGGCAACTCCCAGTGCTTCGATGCCGGTATAGAGCTCCTCGTACTCAGCAGCAATGAGCTCAGATACTCCTTTGCGAGCTCTTTCTCTTAAGCTTGCATCTTCGATCCTCTCCAGAAGCTGAAGGGATAAAGCTCCACCCAGCGTAAATAAGGAATTGTAAAAGGATCGCAGGGTTGTCGCCAGAGAGACTGGGTGTAATTCCGGAAGAGAACTCAGCGGGGTCCCTGGCGACTTCTCCCGCAAAGCTTTGAGTCTTTCAGCGAGACCTACTTTGGACAAAACGGCTTTGGTCTGCCCATCAATCAACCGATTCAGCTGGTCCTCCAGAAAACAGCAATACATCTCTTGTCGCTGCTTGGTAAAGTCATGTTTCCGCAAAGGAGCTTGCATAGCGCAAACACAGTTTATCAGAAAAACGTACCCGTCTGCCATGTCCATCATGGTTGCAACTTGCTGACAGTGGTTCAACAAGGGGTCGAAGGCAGCAGATAGCACAGGCAAGAAATCGGCCTCACGCTCACCAGCTGGAACGGGCGCCATCTCATAGATGGACAGAACTTCTTGCAAGGTGTTTGCTGCCTCCAGAACGAAAGATGGAGCCGATAGGGCTGCCACATACACCCCAGCTACTCCTTGGCGAAGCTTTTGGGCTTGCGCTTCCCAAAGGTCCAAGAAGTTTTGGTATGTTCTGGCATGGAGATCCATGCAGGTCGAGACAATGGCAGCGCCATTTCGGTGAAGCCTTTCCTCGATGGTTTTCGCATAGAATGAGAAGACTTGAGCAACCTTGTACATGGTCACAATCGCCACGTTAGCCTGCAAAGCTTGCTTGGTTTTGGCGACAAGGGTAGCAGCAACGCCGTCCAAGGAGATGTCAAGAATGTCCTCAAAGCTGATCACTGTCCTCAACTGTCCAGGTTGAATCCACGTGTGAGGCGGCAACCCATTTCATCAGATTGCATGTCAGGCGGCGATCCCTCCACTGCGTCTGATGGAGCCCTGTCCACGCCGCTGCCTTTACGTGCCTTCGCCGCCTGCGCAGCGGGAAGCAAATGGTTCCTGCTCCATAAGGCAACGAGGCAGAAGCGAAGTAGCGAAGCCACCTGGGCATCCTCGGGATCCATGAGCGCTGCAAGAGCCTCGCTCTCGGTAGTTACCTGTCAGCTTGCAAACATGAACGACCATAAAGGCAATGCCTTGCACCACACGGTCAGACATGCTTCTCAACATGCTGGGCAGCCCACATTTTCATGGATCCATGCTAGCATGTCGCTCACGTATCGCACAGGATCGCCGGCCTGACTCTTGCAGCGTTGCAACTGCATTTGGGATACCGAGGGCGTATACTTACACTTCATCCAGGTTCAGCACCTGAAGCTCAATAGGGCGAGCTCCAAAGGAGGGATCGCCCTGCATCAGAGCCTCTTTGGATTGTCACATACATAAAGTGGAGTACATTCATACTTTGCAGAGCTGCCTCCAAGAATCTTTGCTGGAGGGACTGCTTCCTGCGATTGCTAACGGCTGGTAACAAGCATGGACAACTTGTTTGTTCATAGTAAGCTTCTTCTGCCGCCTCCAGCGGTTTTGAATGCCGATCGCGGCAGGCGAGAAGTGGATACATTCTACGTCTTCACATGCAATCGGAAACTGCTGTCCTGACTCTCCCGATGTCGCGCAGACAATGGTTGAAGTACACGGGCCGCTCTTTTAGCAGCCTTTCTGAAGTCATTGACATTCATTCCGAACTAAGCTTATCTCGCTGCAACTGGCTTCAGTCACCATGTCTGGACTCATGCAGACAGGATGGTGACCAAGATTGTTGAATAATGCGACTTCACTGGCATTAGATACAAAGGCTGCATACACTTAGATCTACCGGTTCTTGCTGGCAATAAGGTTGCTAAGTTGCCGGCTTCAACACTCGCTTCAACACATTTCCAGCCGGAGTCTCCAGCTCTGCAGACCTAAGGCGGTACATGGATGAGCTGCAGTAAATACTTGATCGGCAAAATTCACGAGGGTTATCCCTCTACTTTGTCTCACGTTCGGTTTTGCACATACGAGTAACAGCAAAACATAATGCTCTGCTACTGCAATCGACATTTTGCATGAGGCGGCTGGATTTCCATCGAATGACAGTGCTGGTTCAATGCAGGACCGATGCTTCTAGGATTTTGTTGATTTGTAGCCTTGGCGTGATCTCGGAATCAATCTTCCGTTGGCGTGATCTCGGAATCAATCTTCCGTCGGCTGCTGTTTATCTTAATTGTTCGTAACATTGGCTAAACATTCGCTACGTATGGAGATTGGCCGGTTCGAAGGTAGCTGAATTCTCACTGTTCGGTTGCGCTGTCTGAGTAATGGGCGTACTGGAATCAAGGTCTACAGATCCCGCATGCCAGTGGATGCTTGTTCATCTGTAGTGGCTTTGTTCTGGAATCGATGCTTCCATAACGTTCTCTTCGCCGATTTGCAGCATTGGTCTCACCACGCATCACCACGTTATGCGCGTTATGTTTCCATTGTCTTGCCAGGGATGCAGGGTCAATAGCGAAATTATGCCCACTGTGGCAGAGTTTAGGCTTTCTTCATTTTGACTGTCGCTCGCACCCTCATACAATCTCAAGGCCGGGCGTGCTCTTTGCCACGGCCGCATCTTTTGATCCCCGGCACTGCTGCTGAACCTTGGCGGGCTGGGCTCAGCAAACGAAGCTACTCTGGCACTTCTGAGGTCGACTCCCACACAAACATGCGCTCGTAAGAGGCCTTCCAACCATGACTTGTCGCATTGATATTGCTACAGCCTGCAGCCGATCAGCTCTGTTTGCTTTGGCGCTGCTGCCCTCACCTCCAAGACCTCTGACGTCTCGTGCAAGATGTCGACCTTGAATTCTTCCGGATAGACTGGAACGCTTCAATCTGCGCAGCCGACAAAGTCCAGGCTCTCAGAATCCGGCCCCAGAGGTTTGCTGGCCGCTGGTACTGAGCCTCAGAATGAGCTGCAGGTCCGCGCACAGCGAAAAGTTGCCAGGCAGTACTGGGTGCAGGGCATATGGCGCGCATTAGCACGCACCTCGCGCTTGCTAGGATCTGGTACTGAGTGCCGAGTATTGGCCCAACCTGCTCGAGTCTTTCGAAGGCAGTGAAGAAGTCATCGTCCAGAGGTCTGTCGCCAGATCGCACCACTTGCGTGTCCGCCTGCTGGTACAGGTCCGGACCGAAAGGAGGAAGGGAGAAATAGAGATTGAGAGAGAAGGTGAAGTGCGTGGTTGTGTGCGACATCCTAAGCAAGGGAGGAGGCCCCAGGGCCGTCTTTGTAGCTGGGGCCAATGAAGCTCCACGAAGACAGCTAGGATGTGAACTCTGGACGCAGGTTACCTGCAAGCTTTGTGAGAGGCTGAGAAATTCCATCAGAAAACCGCGAAAGAACCTATTGACCTGAAGATTACAACTTATCCTTGTGATACCCCATGGGTCAATCCCAAGAGCGAGAGCGAGAGATCCACGGCGAAAGAATACTAGAGGACTACCGAAGGTGGTGCTGCTACAGAAACCTGCATCCCAGAACATTCCAGACTTCTCTGTCCTCTGACAATCGAAAGCGGGTCAAGAACTTGTCCAAGACCTGTCGAGCTCACGGCACAGCGGAATGATGCACACCCATGGCGACTTCACCTGCTGCTTGAGCTCAATGGACACCGACTCCTCGAGCCAATCCCGGTGCCATGAGGCCATGCACGTGGACGCAGCGGATGGTCCTTGCGCAGCGCAGCTGCCTTCTCCAAGCTTGCCTGCCAGGCACATCTGCAAAGATCGAAGACACGTGCGCAATCTTGTGAGACAGCCCAGGAAGCATTTCATGTGCCTGTGTCTCAGAGCGACTTGCTTTCAGTTGGTTAGTTGCACGCTGCACTGCCCCATCCTTGCGCACAGCAGCTGTGCCCACAATGACTGTCACAACACCACTGTGCTCCCCACCAGCCGATCAACCAAACGGTCCAACCCCTCCAGCTGGCTTTCGAGAGCCCCGAAAGCATTTACGAACTCCTTCATGGTTGACTGATGGCAGGCAACCATTTCACCCACTCATCACTGCCCATCCTTGTGCAAGAACAAATTCTCGCCTTCGATGCTGGATCGCAAGTTCCTCTTGATGGCATGGGGAGCATATTCAATCACCATCTTGTGGACTCAACAGGCGCAGTCGCCTCCTTGTGTGGACTGTGTTTTCGCTGAAGAACCCAGACAGGCACTTGAGCGCATCCCTTGACCTGCCACTTCACAGTTGCATCTTGCACAATCTCTGCAAGCCGTGACGACAGGAGCTAAGGGTACTGCTGCTGAGAATCAATTCGAAGCGTCAGGGCCTATCAGCAAGAACGAAGCAAAAGCCATTGAGGTAAGGCGTGCCATGGTATGCTCTTGTGGCGCCTTCTGGATCTTCTTAGTCAAGTGAGCGCCTTGGAGGCTTCTGCGATGTGCAGTCGGTAGATCAGTGAATTGGTTGCTTCAGCCCTGGCTGGCAGAGTTGGCAGCGGCAGAAGCCGCAGGTTGCGCCTTCATTCATGCACAACAAAGCTGAGAAACCTCAAACTTGCACAGGAGAGACAAGAGAGGGAGGAAAACATCTTTGCCAACTTGGCAACGAGAGCCCAAATGTGGTGCTTTGCTGCAAGAGCTCTAGTACAGCCTTGTGCTTCACATCACACCCATAATATCCCATAATCCTTGTGCTATCTTCCACTCTGTCTCAAGCTGACGCTTACAAGGCTTACGCTTCTTCCCTCTTCTGGGTCGCTTGATTGGCTCTTTGTCGCGGCTGTTTTGCCATGTTGGTGATGGTTCTGAGTAACCTCTTTGAGCCATTCCTAGCGGCCTTTTTTGGCTAGCAGTTCTCTGGCAGCTGGCGGGCTTAGAGGGTTGCATTGCGGTCATGTCATGCTTCTCTGTAGCACAGGAGCAAGTGTCGGTGGATGGCCCTCTTCAGGTTGAAGCCCCCAATACATCGGGCATAAAGGAACAGACCAGCGTTGGCCTTTAGAGGTGATTTTCCTCGGGACCGGGCAACCCCGTAGCTTTATCTCACTGCCTACTAACTGCACCTAGCGGTAACCTGGGACCATCCTGCACCCTCCCTCATTTCTCTTCACATGCTTCTCACAGCATGGCCAGGCCCTGCCTGCGTGCCAGATGGTGCCGCAGCATCAGGACTGGCACTCATTTGAAACGGGTACTGTCTTTAAGATCTCTGAGCAGTCTTGTGATGCAGGCCACGCAAGGCCTAGAGTCTAGTGTGAGCCTCAAGCTGCAAACTAATGGCAGTCCTTCATAAATTCTCACAAGCCCCTGGGAATTCAAGGTACCTAGATCTGCTCGGGTTGCCTGGCTCTAGTCAAAGTGTTCAGACTGACACTGACATTGCTGCGAATTCTTGTCAACAATACATGCCTTTGCGTTGTCGGCAGAATGCAGCATGTGCAGTTGTGTGCACGGCTGCACGGAAGGCATTTTCAGTCTGCATGCATTGGCGAGTTTACGCCCCGGATCGAACAGGTGAAACTTGCACACACTTCCTCTACATCTTGGTGCCTCAGTGCCGAACCACCACAGCGATTTTGAAACCAGTGACTGTGGCATGTAAAGATGAGAAGTTGACTGGCACCGAGGTTTCGCAGAGGCCAGAATGACTCACTCACTGGGCAGCACCCACTGCGACCCACTGCTTTTCAGCAGGCCTGCAAATGACAATACAGTAGCGAACAGCCATCGACGCACAAGCACCTGCAAGGCTCACGACCAAGCCCAACATTCATACTTTCTTCTAGAGAGATCCCATCAAGAATGAGCTGTGCTTCAAGAACAGACTGCGAGCACCCTCCCAGACTCCGAAACCCAAAGCAATCTGGTAGAACAAAGGTCTCAGTCGATTAGGCTCATCAAGGGCAACCGCAGCAAGGATAGAATTTCACAGCAAGATGATACTCTGATGTGGCAGTTCGTGGCAGTAGTCGTGGTCGTGGAGCCAGCTCTTAGCCTGGGGTTGCTCACTCCTCCGTCTCTATGGCTGGCAGGTTCTCCTCAATGAACCTTATAGCAGGCAATCAGTCAACCCCCCTCCCTTTATCTCAAGCAACCCGTTCGGTGCTCGGATGCCATCCTGAGGCATCAGCTTCAGAATTTCTGGCGCTTTCAGGCCTTCAATCTGCATTACCTGGCATTTGCTGGCTGCGGAATTCCAAGCTTCAGGCAACATGCCTGATGCTGCAGCAGAGTTAGACCTAGCAGAACTTGTGGCGAAGATAAAAGCTGAAAGCCTCTTCTCCACCTTTGTAGAACCTGAGCAGAATGGCATGCCACTTGTGGCAGGGAGAGCCAAGCAAGCTACAATGGATGCTGCTCTGTAGGCTCCGGACAGGAATCGAGGCTTGCTAGTCTCTGGAAAACGCTCTTCGAACTGCCATGACCATCACTCAAAATTGAATACAATTCAGAACAGCTGCTCAAAGTCATAGGGTCCTATGATCCACCAAATCAGCTGACAGCATGTTGGCTTGCCGGCATGTATGCCACTTGCTTTTTCCCTGCTGTGGCTAGCGTTGATATTATGAACAGTATGCACTGCACCGGCTTTGCACACGACCTCCGGCAGGACATTCCTGTCAGCTTGCGTGATGGTGCATCGATCCTCCGAGGATCCATGAGTTGTCATCATTTGTCATTAAGCTCTTGAGCTGTTTCCACAGTTGCTCACATTCCGGGAACATGCCCGTGTCCTCGAAGGCATCAACGTTCAGCTGAGCAGCAAAACATGGTGCGTGTAGCAAACCAATCATGGGCTTGTCCATTTGCTCAGCCCGAACCTGAAGGTTCTTGAAGGTAGGAACCTTCAAGCAGATTCACGCTTGCCATGAGTGTCAAGTGCCGCAGCACTAGAAAAGCAAGTGGGGATCAGCATGCCACACGACTGTCTGTGGCTGCGGCTATAGATAAGCAAGGGCCACACCAGGCTGTATATACCTCGGGTCTCGACAAAGTCGAAAGTTGCCGACAGTAGTTTCTGACCGCAAGTCCGACGCTGTCTTCTAGCCTGACGATTGCACCCCTGCAACTTGAGCTGTGCTCCACACGTCCACGATATGGAGCTTTTTGCAACCTTCCTGTTGTGTTTCTGCAATGTGGCAGGTCAGGGGCTTGATATGTGCATGCTTCGATTCTCTTTTCAATTGCTGGGTAGTCATACTTGGACATTTGGGAGGCAAAACCTGAGAAACTCAAATAACGACTTGCGGCCGGTTCCAGTTTCACAATCACAGCAGATACACCACAGCTTTTGTGATGCCTTGTGAATCTGGGCTTTGAAGTCTTCGACATCGAAACCGTCCTAGCGCAAGCAGGTGCTCTTGCAGCACGGCTTTCACAAATAGCAATTCTCAGCACGCAGAGCAGGCCTCGCCGATCTTTCGGATGATTTCCTCCGATGCTGGCAGGCAGGAGTTCTGAAGCTTTGATTCGGTTGTCATTTCTGCTTTCTAGAGGTATTGCTATGGCTGCACACCTTCGGGGCCATTGCAGCCGCGGAGGGCGACCACGCACCTCGGCTCGGGCTATGCAGTGACGAGAGATGCAGTTTATACATATCCTTAGTTTGTGAGGGAGGTATGGGGAGAATTCCCAAAACATAGGGTAAAATAAACAGAACCCATTTTAGACAACACCGCGAACATTCAACATCTCAAGAAGAGCACAAGCTTGAACCCCAGGCTGAAACAGCACAGAGCTCTGGGGGGAACGGGCCGCGAGCAGGAAGTATCTAAAAAACTGCCAGCTGAACCAAAGGTTAGTGATGGATTTGCCTGGCTGCACATGATCAACTTTCAGGTCTGAAATGGGGCATGGCTAGATGACCCCCTACTCAGCTGTTCCAATGGGCACCCCATTCCAGACCCTCACAAACTGAGGAGATGTTTATACCCTGTGACAACACGCTGAGTATGGGACCTGTTCCAGTTAAAGGACCATCAACCCGCTGGTTTGAGCCACAAAACGAAGCACGGACAGCTGATCATCCCCAAACTCAGCTAGAATCAGCCATAAGCTGAAACAAATTCTGCTCTTTCATCTAAACCTGCTTTTCTGGCGGTCATTGCCGCCTCCTTCGCCTGGATCATGGAAGTCGTGCGCGTGTTCACTTCAGCTTCCATACCCATCTCTTGGGACTTGGATGAGACCCACCCATTCAGAAAGTCAATTTCTGTAGGCCTTCCGGCTTGCACGTCTTGCATCATGGAAGAGCGATTCTCTGCTGTTTCGCGTACGGTTTGGAGGACGAAGTCCTCCAGGTCCTCTGCAGATAGCTGCAAAGCACTGCCACGGCTCCGAAGCAATGTGTCTGCTAGTGCAGAAACCTCACGGCATATTTGGGATACATGCTTGCGTGCATGGGCACAGGAAAGTATGAAGCCATTGGGCTTCTCTTCGAGGGCAGTCAATGGATTGATCGCGGCGTTAGCGGCCAGTTTCAGCCATAAGGAGCGCTCGATGTTGGGGCCTTCATCCACTGCTCCCAAGCCAGCAGTCTCCAAGCGCTTCAGCGTGGATTTGTACAATTCTGGCTGGACAGCTCCCAGTGTTCCGAACCTTGTCTGCCCCCGTCCTGCATGAACCACCTCAAAGGGACCCCTGGACCATGCACCATGAGTTGTGATCCCTAAGATTAACTGCGTGTTATCCAAACATGCGGTCTTGACAATCTGCTCATGTAGAGCCAGTGCTCCGTTGCAGAGCACCACGATAACAGCATCGCGCCTTAAGCGGGGAGCCAAGGTTTCTAAGGCACGCATGGCCGAGTAAGCCTTTGTCACTACAACCAGCTCGCCAACATCTGCTCCACTTACTCCACTTCCTGATACTTCTTCAATTGGGACAGCAACTGACATGGTCTCAAGGTCCTGGCACCCCTGTACTCTCAGGAGGGCTTTCCCCGAATGGCACATTGTCAACTTGGCCGCGCCAGGCCGAAGCAAGAGCCGAGTTTCAGTGCCCGCTCTGGCCAGCGCCGCTGCCCAAAGGCAACCCATGGACCCGGCACCAAGGACGTGCATCTGCCTGCTTTTGGTTGCTGCCTACCGTGATGCTGAAACGGTTTTGTTTGCACAAAATTGTGCGGGCCGTTTTCGTCTTTGGTGTGGAACTTCAAAAAAGACTCAAGAGATGGAGCGAAGTGTCGAGCAGGAAGCAGGAAAGCACTGCACTACAACCTCATGTTGATGGCTGTTTTTTTTGCCTAACACGCACGTCATCGCTTTGGACGTCGGGGCAAGTGCATTAGCTATGCGACGATATCGTCTCCTGAACTAGCCTGCTGCTGTCAACAAAGCTACACCCCGAGATTAAACTTGTGGAGCTAATCTAGCTTTGTATGCATAGGAGCTCGCAGGAAGCCGAGCAAGGTGGCTTCAGGAAGTACGGATATTATGACATGATATCACCTTCACTCGTCTCTTGCGTCAAAAGCCGACTATGGTAGAAACTATTCCAGCTGGTCCGGACACGACATCACGGGTCCTTGCTCTTTGAGCAAGAGGGTCCCATCTGTTCAGCAAGTGCCACAGCCTACGCATGAAGTCTACGCCTCAGTTGTGGCAGGCTGCTTTCGTGCTCTAATGTCCTCTGCACGGCGCTCCAAGGTGGGCCATGCGGCTGTCAAAAGACTGGACCTCACCAAGTCTGCACCCGGCGTTGGCGGTGTCGTGGATGAGCTGCCTCGGCTTGGCGGACCATGTTTAATCAACAGCAACTTTGAGAAGCTGGGTCTCGCGGCAGCTGATCAGTTTTGGAGCAGATCGGCTAGAGCTTCCCCTGCTAGCAGCTCAGGTGGAGTTTCCAAAGCTACACTGTGCTTCATTCCTTTAGGTTGATGCCAACAAATTCAAGTTCAGCCTTTTCTAGCCCTATGTACACCCCGCTCAGGCTGCAGAAGCTGTCACCCATTGGTGAACACATCTGTCTCCGCCTGCTACCAGGCTGCCACCACAGCCAGCGCCAACGAATTGAATTGCAGCTTAGCTATCTTTCGACTCTAGAATAGTATTAGTATATAAAAAATGCCCTAGCACAGCCCTTGCTTCCCCTCAGCGAATTCTACGTGCGGAGCGCTCAAAGGGTAGTCTCCAGTCGGAGCATGCCACGACCTCCTCGAAGGCAGAGCAGCAAAGCGAAGCTCTCCTTTGCCACTTCAGCTTCCCGGGCTCTGGGTGGCTGGCGTTCTGTCAGCTTGGTGGCGCATGGAACGCAAAGCTCAAAGCGAAGGCCGGTTTGCTCAGGACACTGAGGGCAAGCGTAGAACTGGCCAGGAATTTGCGTTTGAACATACATGCAGATCACTCATTTACAACGGGCAAAGGCCAACCTCGTTGGACATGATGTACGACTTCCTTGCACCGCTCTTTGGGATCAACCGTGCGGATTTACTTAGACTATTCACAGTCCTTTTCAAACTGTGGCCTAGCGCAATAGCAAACTCGAACAGTAGCGTATAGCTTCGACCAAGAAGCTTGTACGGATCTTGCTTGAGCCTGCAAGCAGCAACTTGCAGAATTGCACTCTGAACGCCGCAGTACTGGCAAGTGCAAGCCCAGGGCTCCAGCTCCTGAGCTTTTGTCATGAACGACCCTGCAAGAAGACATGTCTGACAAAGCACAGTTGCCGACACAGCTGGACAGCGAGCCTTCATCTTTGCTGCTTTTGCCTTCAGCTCCTGCCACAGACTAGATGTTCTGCAAGCTGATGACGGTTCAGACGGTGCTCACGACTGCCCAGCCTCTACCCACAACTACGCTCCCGCACATATCACAGAGAACACGGTGCAGATGTGGAGAGCCTCGGCTGCATGAGATGTTCAATCATCCTCGTCTATGCACGTGTGAGAATGGCAAGCCAACTGTGCTAAAGGTATGTTTGCTGAAGGATAGGGGTAGGGTGATGACATCGTAACCCGAAGAGATTAACAAAATGACTGTCAGAATGGCAGGGCAGCACATCTTTAATGATGGGTTTTTGGCCACCAACTGTTGATATCATTGGCAGCAAAACACTTCAAATAAGATCCTTGCAACAAGATGCACACCCAATGAGGATTCCCCATGCTTTTGGCTGTTGTGGTGCATGGCTGAATAAGTTAGCAATGACCATTTCCATTTTCTAACCATGCCCCACCCCCTAGCACCAAAACCATAA